TAAACATTTTAGTCTGTATCGTTAAAAAGATTTTTACCGAGACATATAGACTCAGCTTGAACTTAGACCCCTATTCTTGAATATATACAGGGTCGTCTGAGTGCAAGTGGAACAATGTGATCAGGGTTCGAAAGGAATTTAGATTTACCTTTTTGACCTAGTTTTGACGACTGTAGCCTAACCCTTGACCTTCCGTCTTGAAAAACAATAGGAATTTACGGTTGGACCCTTTTTATGATGATAAAGTAGAAAAAACGATATGAAGATAGGTCTAAACATTAAGTCTGTATCATGTATACATTTTGAAGTAGTCCTTTACCGTTATCATAAACTTTGGCCTTTGTCCTTAAAAATCAATAGGGGTCAGTTAGTCTTCTTAGTGATGTAGTGTGTATACAAAGTTTTATTCATAATGACTATTTTGTTCGAACTGTACACGTATCTTAATTTTGAAAGAGACTTCGTTGAGAAGGGAAAATAATCTGTTTATTTTTTTTTATTAAAAATCTACGCCTAATCTGCACCATAGAAAGCTAGGAAGAATCGTGATGCTGATCAAGTTTATATGGTCACTTATATTATGGTGATTTTCGTGTTCCATTTTTAGCTCACCGGGCCCGACGGGCCCCATGTGAGCTCATGCCATCACTTGGCGTCCGTCGTCGTCCGTCGTCTGTCGTCGTATTTGTCTGTCGTCGTCGTTGTCTGTCGTCGTCGTCGTCGTAAACTATTTCAAGAATCTTCTCCTCTGAAACTACTTGGCCAAATACCTTCAAACTTTAACTGAATGTTTCTTAGGGTATCTAGTTTATAAATTATATCCGAAGTTTTGATCCATCAACAAACATGGCCGCAATGGCTAAAAATAGAACATAGTGGTCAAATGCAGTTTTTGGCTTATATCTCAAAAACTAAAGCATTTAGAGCAATTCTGACATGGGGTAAATATGTTTTATAGGTCAAAATCTATCAGCCCTGATATTGTCATACGAACCGAACAACCCATTGTTGGGTTGCTGCCACTAAATTGGTAATTTTAAGGAAATTTAGCAGTTTTTGGTTATTATCTTGAATATTTAAAATGAAGATAAAGATAAACTGTAAACTTCAAAAATGTTCCGCAAAGTAAGATCTACAAAAAAAATTATATGACCAAAATTGTCAATTGACCCCTTAAGGAGTTATTGCCCTTTGAAGACGAATTTACACAATTTGTTTATCATATTTGCTAACATTTAAAAATCTTCTCTTCTGAAACTACTGGGCCTAATACTTCTAAACTTTAACTGAATGTTCCTTAGGGTAACTGGTTTAAAATTGTATCCGAGGTTTTGATCTATCAACAAACATGGCCGCTGTTGCTAAAATTAGAACATAGGGGTCATATGCAGTTTTTGGCTTATATCTCAAAACCTACAGTAGTTACATGTAGAACAAAATTGAAAGGGGTTAAAGTGATAAATGGGTCATGATATATCTGTTATGAAATTTTCAGACAAGTTCGACAACCCATTGTTGGGTTACTGTTGGAAATTAATTTTTATTAAATGTTACTGTTTTTGGTTATTTTCTTTAATATTATATTACTTTTAGATAGAGAGAAAGTATAAATGGCAATAAATGTTCAGCTAAGTAAGATCTACAAATAAGCCAACATGATCAAAATAGTCAATTGACCCCTTGAGGAGTTATTGCCCTTAAAATGTTTTTTTTTTTTTTTACATTTTTTGTGAAAGTCTTTTTCAAATTTTTTTTCTCTGAAACTACTTGGCCAAATACTTAAAAACTTTAATTGAATGTTTCTTAGGGTATCTAGTTTATAGATTGTATTCGGGGATTTGATCCATTCAAAAACATGGCGGCAGTTTCTAAAAATAGAACATAGAACAAATGAAGATTTATGGCTTTCATCTCAAAAACTAAAGCAGTAAGAGCAAAACTGACATAGGTGAAAGTGTTAAACAGGTTTAGATCTACTGTCAAGTAATCTTCAGACAAAACTGGGTTACTGTCCAGAAATAGTTAAATTTTACGAAATTTTACAGTTTTGGGTTATGTATTATCTATAATGTTATTATAGAAAGAGAGAATGTAAATGACAAAATTGTTCAGCAAAGTAAGATATACAAGTAAGTCAAATGCCTGAAACTGAAATTACAGGTGAGCGATATCAGGCTCTCATGAGCCTCTTGTTATATAATGATGTTTGGTTTGCTGATTATCTTAAGAACATAGTCTGCTATTTTTTTTCCATGTCTGCGCTCTATTCGCGTTGTCTGTCCTAATATTTAGAACTTTAGTCTGGATCAAAATTTTGGAAATAAAAGTAGTCCAATTATTCAAAACTTTGGCCTGTGAACACATTGTCACGAGTATACATGGATAACCTTGAGTAAGTCATTACAAAGTCTATTATAAGGTATCTAAGAGGGACGGGTTTTTTTCAAAGATTTTTTTTTTATAATTTATATAAGATTTCCGCGAGTTTTATTTTTCTTGTATTTATATTCTTTTATTTTCCAATAAATCCTTCAACAAACAAAGCAATACCTTTCGTAACAATTTTTTCACAGAAAACCCGGTTAGGTTCCCCATAACATTTCTATGTATATATAGGGTCATTGAAAACGAACCAGACATTAATCTGCATACAGTAAAGTTGGTTATTCATGATGATTAAGGCTGTTGTTTTTGTTTGCTTTGTTGGTATGTACAAGTATTTTAACGTTCTAGTGTTGTCTGCACAGGGCTATTTATCCGTTGCTTTCATTTAAATATTAAAAAACTATTATTATTATTCATGTTCTTAATTTTTATAGTTTTCATTCGAGGATCCGTATGACTTTTTGTTAAAGAAAACACTTATGATTAAGGGGGGCAATATATCCAACAAATCTTTTCTTTTTGTTTTAAATTTTAAATAAGACCCGATGTTCATCAGGGGTGTGTGGGGTGTCTCATAAACAATAAACGAAAAGCTCAAAACGTAATGAAAAAGATAACGTGACAATAGCTCTTTGTTTTGATAAAACGAACACTTTACACGAGCATAAAACATATCAAATATGTTTTGTTCTATAGTTATAGTTCTTACATCTGACCACAAATACTGGAATTAGTAAGAACAATTATAATTTCTGCAATTAAAATTAAGATAAAAACGAAAAATATTGGCCTTTCAGTAGCGTAGCTTGACCCTTATTTTATGTTAAGCAAACGACTTGAAACTTTGGAGTCAATGCAACAGCGCGGTTCAAACACCGCATTGCGGCTTAGGTGTGGATGGTTCAAGAGCAAAACAGGCGTTTTCAGCATTAACAAATGCAACAGGTAGACAATATCGACAGGTTTGATTGATTGATTGATTGATTGATTGATTGATTGATTGATTGGTTGATTGGTTGATTGATTGATTGATTGAATCTGCTTAAGGTCCAGTGATAAATATTTAACTTTAATCGTGCAGTAGGCCACCTACAATTTCATTACTGAAGAGTTCTTGCAATGGTCCTATAATGTACAGGGAGCGGTTATTTCTTCCCACACGAGGTACCGGATTTAACGCATCCATTTCGACCGCACGTGCATGACGCCTATTTTAAGCATGGGTATGATTAGCGCGTATGACAAAAATTCAGAGTCAGCTGACAACTGACTGATTTGACAGGAAATTATACGTTTAGCTTAATACGCGGATTCAATGCATAAATCCTTGAGTGTTATTTCATATGCGTTGTTTTCTAAAATAAGGTATACAACGCAAGGTCAGAATTTTTACGTCACTATTAACAGTGGTTACCTACAACCTGTTTTTTAAGAATAAGAAGATGTGGTACGATTGTCAATGAGACAAATTTCTACCAGAGACCAAATGAAGTAAAAGTTAGCAAATATAGGTCACCGTACGCCATTCAACTATGAGCAAAACCCACAAGCTATAAAAGGCATTGACATGACAAAGGTAAAAACAATCCAAGCGAGAAAACTAATGGCCTGATTAATGTACAAAACAATAAATGAAAAACAAATATGATATTCAGCAACAAACGACAACCACTGAATTACAGGCTCCTGACTTGGGACAGGCACGTACAGTAACACTGTAACGGGGTTAAACATGTTTGCGGTCGCCACTAGACTGGTTACCTTCCCCTTGCAACATACGTGTATCTATTCATCCTTGTTACCGAACATATTGTCGACTCAAATGAAATTCTTCCATATTTACTGACAATAATTTAAACATAATTCTACGCATTAAAATTAAACTCTGTTCTTCATAACTTTTTGCTGTTTATCAATTACTGCAAAACAAATATCCCCCGTTTCCATTCTCAATTTTATTGAAGCCTTGATAACAATGAGTGCATATGAAGGAACATTATATAAATAACACATATCTGAGAGGGTGATAGAGCAGATTGTTACTCCGAGAAAACATTGTCAACTGAGGCGAATCCAAGGTTGACAATGTCTTTTCGAGGGGTAACAATCTGTTCTATCACCCTCTCAGATATGTGTTATTTAATTTATTATACTGAATGTTCTGTTATTACTGTCTATTAAATTTCAAATTCAAAGTAATAAACTATGTCGTCTAGTACATAACAATCATCCGTATATATTAAAGGGCTCACTTGAGCAAGCGTCTCCGTGAAGGGTAATATAGTATTTGCCATGGGATAGAGTAAATTGTCTCCCTCGTATTAACCATTCAAAATCTGGCATTTTGACATGATGTATAAAAAAAAATATCCCTTATGAGGTTCTGGATGGAGTCAACAGAATAGAGAATACACTGTAATAGGCAATGCTTAGAGAAAAATTGGCCAAAAAATAATTAAATCTGAATAATGGGATGCTTAAATATAAAAAAAAGAAAATAATGGGCAAAATATATAAAGAACAGAGAAAAATAACCTAAAAACTTAAAAAATACAGAAATGAAGAACCACTCATGCAGACCTGCTTTAGAACATACTCAATAGTTATATGGTACAATGTATGCATATATCAAACTTAATTTTCTATTATATGCGATACTATTTGTTGCAGCATTCGTTTGTGCGCAACACCATGGCGGAGGAAATCACAACCCACCTCATCACCCCCATCCGGATAATAAACAATGCCATACCGATGCTGACTGTAGTGGATGTGTAACCAACACAACCGGATATTGTAACTTACAAGATAACCTGTGTTACTGTAAACCCGTTACTGCAAGTAAGAAATGATTAAAACAATATTTTATCTTAAATTTTTACCCCATATTATATAAAGGTATTATACCAGTTCAGTGCGTCCGAATATATTTTATTTATCACATAAAATTGAGAATGGAAATGGGGAATGTGTCAAAGAGACAACAACCCGACCACAGAACAGACAACAGCAGAAGGCCACCAACAGGTCTTCAATGCAGCGAGAAATTCCCGCACCCGGAGGCGTCCTTCAGCTGGCCCCTAAACAAATATATATACTAGTTCAGTGATAATGAACGCCATACTAAACTCCAAATTGTACACAAGAAACTAAAATTAAAAATAATACAAGACTAACAAAGGCTAGAGGTCCTGACTTGGGACAGGCGCAAAAATGCGGCGGGGTTAAACATGTTTATGAGATCTCAAACCTCCCCCTATACCTCTAGCCAATGTAGAAAAGTAAACGCATAACAATACGCACATTAAAATTCAGTTCAAGAGAAGTCCGAGTCTGATGTCAGAAGATGTAACCAAAGAAAATAAACAAAATGACAATAATACATAAATAACAACAGACCACTAGCAGTTAACTGACATGCCAGCTCCAGACTTCAATTAAACTGATTGAAAGATTATGTCTTCATCATATGAATATCAGGCACAATCCTTCCCGTTAGGGGTTTAGTATCATACCATCATAACATATATGAGAAGAACATAACCCGTGTCATGCCAACAACTGGTTTTTAAATAAATGTGTTTAGTGCCGATGCAAAGACCTTATAAGTGAATCAATATTAACGCCAAAATATGCAATCTTTAATGACCTGACAACAGTATCGTAACTATATCCCTTCTTAATAAGTCTATTTAAAGGTTTTGTTAGTTTCAGAGGTGAATACTGACATTTTTGTGCTTTATAAAGAATATTTCCATAAAAAATTGGATGTGAAATACCTGAACGTATAAGAAGTCTGCATGTTGAGCTATATTTACGAATGATGTCCTTATACCGATGATATAAAATTTAGTAAATGTTTTGACTAGTTTGTGATATCGAAAACCCTGGTGTAATAATTTTTCAGTAATACATAAATTTCTCTCGTTAAAATCTAAAACATTGTTACATACACGAGCGAATCGTACAAGTTGAGATATATAAACACCGTAAGATGGTGACAAGGGAACGTCACCATCTAAAAATGGATAATTAACGATAGGAAATGAAAAATCATCTCTTTTATCATATATTTTAGTATTAAGCTTTCCGTTAATGATATAGATATCAAGATCGAGGAAAGGGCAGTGGTCATTGTTAGTATTAGCTTTATTTAAAGTAAGTTCAACAGGATAAATTTCTTTAGTATACATACTGAAGTCGTCATTATTGAGAGCCAAAATATCATCCAAATATCTAAAAGTATTATTAAATTTGTGTATCATATGTTGTTTTGATGGGTCTTTACTGATTTTTGTCATAAATTGTACGTTTATTCTAAGGTAAAACTTTAGGATATCAACTAAATACTACCAGTAAGAGCGTTATCAGCGAATCATGTAATATCCAGAACAACAAATGTCGCTTACGGTCAAAATTGCCCAAAGGTCTAATACTTTCATGAAGATGGCATCATTTTAAGTGTGCTAGTAACCTCAGCTTTTTCCAGTTCACGTGAAAACGTTGTGAAAAAAAAGCGTTAGCTGTTTCATCGGCTGTCCCAGCCTCGATCCCAACATTTGGCTCTACACGTTTCGCTAAAATTCAGAAATAATGAACAAACGCTCAATTTTTTTCCAATAGACTACTGTAGTGATTTTTAAAATATTTTATGAAATAACTCACATCTTTCTAGTCGTATAGTTCTGTAATCTTATTTTATACGATTAACTAATGCTCTTGAAAAATGTTGGGAAAATTAAAATTTGATAACGAAAATTTTGTGCGTTGTAACTATCTAACATGAACTAAAAAAACTTGTTCTTGTTATCTATTACAGCTTGCATACACATGTTTGCTTTGGTTTTCAGAACGTGCCGCGTGTCATAACGGACATCAGTGCTCCTGTCCCGATGGACAAAATGGTGTATGTAACGCACAGGGACACTGTGAATGTGGAGACCATCCAGTCGGAAGTGAGTATAAATTCGACCATTCACTAGACAGATGTTCCATAATACGTACTCATACTTATCTGTACATTCAATAATATTTAGTCCTCATGCTCCAGGCCTTGCGGTAATAAAACTTTGGAGCACGATTATCGTACTCAGACTCAGAAATTAACCAATCAAAATACTGGATTTGGTGTTTCGAGCACAAATTTTGTACCTCGAGTACTGAGTAAAGTTTTATGACCGAGGGCCCTGGTCCTCCAATTGTTTCAAAATACGCTCTCCTGGTCCTCCCGATGTTACAAATTACGTTATCCTGTTGCAAAAGCTGTTCCAAGATACGTTCGTCTGGTTCACAAGCTGTTCCAAAATTCGTTCGTCTGGTTCACAAGCTGTTCCAAAGTACGTTCGTCTGGTCAACAAGAGGTTCAAAAGTACGTTCGTTTGGTCAACAAGCTGTGCCATTATATGTACTCCTGATTCTCCAAATGTTCTGTAATACATACTCCTGAACATCCTTACGTATTGATCAATACAACATACACGAGGGTCTGGATGGGGGGTCCTTTATTTCTGTCTTCTTTAAATTTTTATGCCACTTTTCTCTATTCTTTATTATATTTTAGCACCTTATTATTCTCTATTCTTTATTTTTTTGGTCCATTTTTTTCTATTCTTTTTATTTTTTTGCCGTTATTCTCTGTTCTGTAAACCCCCATCCACACTCTCATACATAGTCTGCAAAGAACATGATGAAATTGCATTGGACACAAATGTTTGTATGTTTGTATGCGATATCTTTGAATTGCATCAGGAATATGACAGAGTTGTATTTAATGAAATGATAGGATTCGTATATTTTAAAAAGGAATTTCACCATCTAAAATATTAACAAAATCAAAACCCACCCTACGTGAACGGTTCAACCAGACATTATTGTGAGAAAAATCAAAACCCATGTAACGGGAACGGTTCAAACAGACGTTATTGTGAGAAAAATCAAAACCCATTTAACGGGAACGGTTCAATCAGACGTTATTGTGAGAAAAATCAAAACCCATGTAACGGGAACGGTTCAAACAGACGTTTTTGTGAGAAAAATCAAAACCCATGTAACCGGAATTGCTCAACCAGACGTAATGCTGAGAAAAATCAAAATGCACACGTATAAAAATTGCGGTTTTTATTCAACGCAATCATATATATACAAGTCTAAATTGAAAACAACGTTCAAACCTATGATTGCGTTGGATAAAAACCGCAATTTTTATACGTGTGCATGCAAAACAAATTTCTTGGTAGAGGGGTCTAAATACAGCACAAACAACATTTTCCAAAAGACCTAAAAAGTGAAAAAGTATATTTAAACAAAACGCATTTGACTAACAGGTCGAACAACGGATGTTCTTAAATCCTGCTGACTGACATTGGCGATTGCCAAATAAACGGATCACAAGATGTAACAAAATGGATCTTTATTATTGATTTAATACCAAGCAGAAAACAATAAACTTGCGGAAAAGATAGCATACCGCAACCATGAGGTGCAAAAATTTGTACACCATATCCGGATTTCGACAATTAATGTCTCTTCAGTGATGTTAGGAATCGAAACGGTATTTGGAAGGCCATATAATTTACCTCAATTTAGGATAGACTCTTGAATTTTGAAGAGTCGAAATAGGATGAACGGATCATATAAACCCGAAGCCAAATTTAATATATACAAGCCCAAACAAAAAATTATAAATAAGTCTAAATTGAAAACAACGTTTAAACCTATGATTGCGTTTGATAAAAACCGCAATTTTTATACGTGTGCATGCAAAACAAATTTCTTGGTAGAGAAGTCTAAATACAGCACAAACAACATTTTCTAAAAGAACAAAAAAGTGCAAAAGTATATTTTAACAAAACGCATTTGACTAACAGGGCGAACAACAAATGTTCTTAAACCCTGCTGACTGCCATTGGCGATTGCCAAATAAACGGGTCACAAGGTGTAATAAATGGATCTTAATTATAAATTTAATACCAAACAGAAAACAATAAACTTGCGACAAAGATGGTATACCGCAAACAAAGGTGCAAAGATTTTTGTACACCATATCCGGATTTCGATAATTAATGTCTCTTCAGTGATGTTAGGAATCGAAACGGTATTTGGAAGGCCATATAATTATGGGAGATTAGTTTTAACTAATGGGATTATCCTCTTGAAATAAAGATTATTTATTTATTTATTTATTTATTTATTTATTTATTTATTTATTTATTTATTTATTTATTTATTTATTTATTTATATTTATTTATTTATTTATTTATTTATTTATTTACCTCAATTTAGGATAGACTCTTGAATTTTGAGGAGTATATAAACAAGTATAAATTGAAAACAACGTTCAAACCTATGATTGCGTTGGATAAAAACCGCAATTTTTATACGTGTGCATGTAAAACAAATTTCTTGGTAGAGGGGTCTAAATACAACACAAAAAACATTTTCCAAAAGATATAAACAAGTCTAAATTGAAAACAATAATTCAAACCTATGATTGCGTTATACATATCTGTACTTCTAAGTTCGTAGTGGTTAGTTAAATAAAATTATATAGTTTCAAACTGTAATAATATGAAATTATATTTATATTGTAATACTTGTGTTTTTTTTAGAGAGAGCAGTCCATGTTGGTTCTCACTGTGGTCAAAAGTCTGATTGTGCAGGTCTAGACTGTGCTGGTCAAGACTACGATTGCATAAACATGAAATGCGCATGTCATGACAATAGTCGTAAGTGATCCGTTTATTGTAACTGAGTCAAAAGAATTCAACGCTAGTCCATTTTTTTTCAAATTTAGCTGCTATTGCCATACAATAAACCTAGGAAAAGATCATTTGATAGTTGCTTTGTATAAAGTGTAAAAAGCTAGAAAGAATTTTTGAGTCAATATTCACAACTAATGTTATCTCCTCAAAAATAATTTGAGGTGTATTTCAAACGACAGCTAGTGCACTACAAATAAACCAGGAAATCCCACAAAGTTTAATCCGTTTTAGGGAACACTGGGCAATCCATGTGGGATATGATCTGCTCACTGAGGTAAAATGCACAAGTAGAGTCCTCTCGAAGCCTTTATATTCATTTAGAAATAATTATTTTTAAAAATAAATAATAAAAAGTACTTACATCTCCGTAATTTGGTCTCTGGTGGATAGTTGTTTCATTGCCAATAATACCACATCTTCTTATTTTTATATAAGAGTAGTCCAACATATAAGAGGATGATGATGGATGGCTGCTTAGCGTCCAACGGCAAATTAATATGCATATTCAGGACGAGAACATGTTAATGTTATACGACTAATAACTCTGTTTTGTACTAGACCGACACGCTGAGTCGGGTTTTTAACGTGTTGTTCACAAGGTAACAGTCAGCAGGAAGATTTGTCACCTTACCCGGACACATTATTCTGACTCCGCCACAATAAGTACAATAATAAGTAACTTCTTTTGAGTTTTTATGTACTTCTTCCAGTTGAAATTATCTGAATAATTCTGAATGAAAATTCTTTTCTCTTTCAGATGGACAACCCGTTGGTCGTTAATCAGTATCATTCTGCCATCGCATCCAAATTATTGAATACAGATTGTGTAAAGCCACGTGCTTTTGTTGATCATTGTTAGGCAAGACGAATTAAATTTGATTAAATAAAATGAAATATTTGATCTTTTTGGATCATTTCTTTAAGCCTAAGCATGAAAATTATTTTTTGTAAACCGGCTTACCAAAAAAAAAAAAAAAAAATAGAGAAAATTATTTAAAATTAAAGAATACTAATATGAAGACCCAACCCCCCTCCAACCCTTTTGTCCTCCACCCAAATTCACACACTCGTTCATGCAGTATGGTCATCTTTCTGATTTGCGAATCAATACTCGACATAAAGTTAACATGGATGCATACGTTTATTTTGTACATTTGTTAATCTAAGATGGTTTTGGGCAACACTGTGTCAATATTGACAGTACAAGTAAATATTTATTGTTGTTTGAAAAGGAAAAAACATAGATATTTCACATTCCTGTTGGTTGTTCATAGCAATATTTTTCCTTACTGTTGGCTGTGCATTGGGAGATATCATCTCCCTGTCGGGTGTTCAATGGGAGATATCATCTTTCCGTCGCGGCTGTTCATAGCGAGAATTCATCTTCTTGTCTGGTGTTTATTGGGAAATACCATCTCCCTGACGGGTGTTCATTAGGATATTTCACCGTCCTGCCAGGTGTTCATACCAATATTTTACCATCCTGTAGGGTGTTCGTATGACTATTTCACCTTCCTATCGGATTTGCTTAGCAAGAATCAAAATGTATACCGATAAACTTATCGTAGACGTTCTTACCTTTATGAGGGTTTGAATGGGGGTTTACAAAATAGAGAATAATGGGCTAAAAATATTAAGAAAAGAGAAAATGAACCAAAACATAAAGAATAGAGAAAAAATGAACCAAAAACATAAAGAATAGAGAAATGGGGCGCTAAAATATAAAGAATAGACAAAAAAGGGCAAATAATATAAGAATAAAAAAATGAAGGTCCCCCATCCATACCCTCCCTTATTGCCTTAACCCTTATCTAACACAAGGCCTGAAAGGATGCTCGATCAGGATATCTCAGTTACTGTACTTGTTCGGATTAAACCTTCATTTACTATAGTATTTTTTTAATTAAACATTTATTTTCGACATGGGAAGCTGAAGGTCTATGCAAAGTTATTCCTCGTCAACTCGTGTTATATATTCTTAATGGGGCTATATATGCTTCATTTTTATACGTCGACATATTATGTAGCTACGATTTATATTCATGAAGCGTCCAATTTTTGTAAATATTTTAACAGCTTTAGCTTAAATGTTACATAAGGGATTTTTTCTTTTTTTTTAATGTTTTCCTTTAAAGATTGTAAATTTTTTCACAGTGTTTTAAAATCTTTTCCCGCTAAGATCAATGAATGCCGTTTAAATAATTCATTTAAAATAGATATCTGCAATTAAAAACAGACAGTAAAGAAGCAACCATTTATTTTATTGGTAAAAAACTCATCGTAGATACCAAGAATAAAATTTTGTACGCCAGACGCGAGTTTCGTCTTCAAATGACTCATCAGTGACGCTCGAATCATAAAGGTTAAAAGGTTAAATAAAGAACGAGTTTGAAAAGAATCTAGGACCCAAAATTGCGAAAGGTTTAATTAAATTCAGCTAAGATAATCGAATGTTACAACAAATAAAATGAAAAACCGTCAATAGCAATGCATTCTGTCTCTTTGTGTGTAATTCGCTCTGTAGCAAATGCTCCGGCAATAGCCCTTTCTGGTACATTCCGTAGATTTTAAGTTTAATAAAAGAAAATCATACTTAAACTAAAGTTACAACGTCTGGAGGCAAACTCGAACTGTATATCGTTTTTGATTTTGTTTCTCTAAAAAGTTTCATTAATTCGGCTTCCGAAAATCTCTGGCGTTATTCCCACTGATCTATCTTTATCATACGATTATATAACTACCACTTGATCAATAACGGTAACAGTAGATTGACAGTTCACACTGAAGGGTACCACAGATCCAGCAGTCAGTATACAATAGATCAAGCAGCCAGTACCATAGATCCAGCAGTCAGTATACCATAGATCCAGTAGCCAGTACCATAGATCAAGCAGCCAGTACCACAGATCCAGCAGTCAGTATACCATAGATCAAGCAGCCAGTACCATAGATCCAGCAGCCAGTACCACAGATCTAGCAGCCAATACTTTTGAAATGTTTGAATTATACATTAAATTTCATGTATAATTTGTATAATCGTACTGACGTTCAAGACCAAGTATTGCACTACTAACTCTTGTTATATTTTTTTTATCTGACAATGTTCTTCATTTTTCCAACGTCGGAATGTTATGAAGTTTCGATACGACTTCTGTAAATATTAATAAAGTTTTAATTAAATTTTGATATATGGAAATTGCTTTGGGGAAGATAAATTATGGTTACGCCCAAGTATGTTCTATATTTTTTAAAAGCTTAGAACATGGCTGTAAAATATCATGTTTGTTTTTCTTTGGCAGGGGAGGGGCAAAGTTTCACATAACGCCATATCATGTTTTTTTTCTCAAACATATGACCTTACCCATTCTATCTCTCATTTTATCTCATTCATCCTTTCTCTCACTCATCCAAGGCACAAACAATCTCTGTAACACACACGCGTTTTCTCACACTACCACACACATTCTCTCTCTTCACGAATGTCTCCCTCACACACGCACACATATTCTCATAATTGTCCTACACACCCTCTCTTTCTCTCATACACACCACAACTTTTTTATTCTTTTGTACTGCATTAGTTTTCGCAAACAGACATACATGCAACTATTTGTATCATTTTTGAGGGGCCTGATGGGTTATTTTCGTTCTTCGTGATCATCGCATTTTCGCTATCGTGATCCGTTTTTCTACAGATTTATTTTTTTTTATATTTTCGTGATCCGTGATCATGGAAATTTATTTTCTGTGAATCGAGATTGACAAAAAAATCAACTCGTGAATCGTGATGAGACCCCCCATCAGGCCCCTCAATTTTCGGTAGTTAAAAATTAAATTAATGGAACCGTTGTTCTAATTTCATTCAGAAATATTCAAACAAATACAAGGCGTTTCTGAACTCATAAACACAGTGGGATAATCAACCATGTCCAAATAATGTCAAAGAGCAAATCCTTCCTTTCCTGAGTGTATTGAAGAGGGTCCGGATGGGGGTCCTTCATTTCTTTTTTAAGGTCATGTTTCTCTATTCTTTATTTTTGGTCTATTATTCTGTATTCTTTTTTTTTAGCACCCAATTATTTTCTATTCTTTATTTTTTAGCACCCAATTATTTTCTATTCTTTATTTTTTAGCACCATTATTCTCTATGCTGTAAATCCCATCCAGACCCTCATTGTCGTCGCTCTCAGCCCGAAAGGTCATTCGTTTTTACTTTTGGGATTCATCTCAATGCCAAACATCAGTAAAAGAATCGCGCGCCAATACGCTATGACAAAGATAAATAAAGTACCATGAAATGTTTTACGATAGACGGGAATTTTTGTACATTAATGCGATTTTATCCGCATTCTAAATTTTCAAAGTACCGCAGGCACCTGTTGATAAAAAGTAAAACGTGGCTCTTAGCATATATAAACTAGTTCTTCTTTATGGTCAATATATGTTTTAATTTTCTCGCCGTATTGAAGACCCATTGGTGTTCTGTTTCCATTCTCAATTTTATTTAAGTACGACCTGGTACACATACAAATTACAATACAAAATTATATAAGTTAGGTATATATGTTTAATGCTGCAAATCTTGCTGTTAGGTCTTATGGTGCACTGTCACAAAATCTTTGTTTCCAGGCATCAAACACTAGTATGTATCGAACAATCAGTTGCATTTTGAACAATCAAAAAGTCATATTGAATAGCATATAGATATATTCAAATGTGACAGAATTGTAACATAATTGCGTATTGTAAAATTCTTTATACAAATTAAGCAACACGGAACCTATGTTTCTCCTACGTTAGTACACTACAATGTTATCAGGTGAAAATTTAATAACTACCTGCAATAGGTTCCTTTACTATTATTTAATTTATCCATTTATCTTAAACAAGTATTAAAGTTATTGAAATTGTTATCTGCGATTTTTGTTTCATTCAATGAGTTCCCTTTACTTCCAATCTCGCTAACCCTCACATATTTGTGTTGCGTGATAAGCACAATACAAACACTGAGAGAAGAAAGTGTAACGTCGTTGTTTACATTTGTGTTAATGTCTAATGGTTTTTAACTTCTTTTTCATCATCTGTGCCATCAGATCGAGACAAAAAGTTGCTTTTTTGGAGTTAAATTTTTATAGCAAAATATGAATACTAAAATTTCCCCACAATAGTTCCCCTCTTTCAGGACTTTCGGAATCGAACGATTATGAATAATTTGATAATTAATTAAATGTTCAATCCTTTAAATTGTACCCTATACAAATGTCTGTCGGACACGCCTGGATATGACGGGTCTTATCTTGAACAACCTTTTACATATATTTAACTTTACATTTAAACAGTTACAGTGACCAATGCTGCAGACAGAATCAAATATTTGCTCCAGTGATCTAAAATGGAAGGTATGACATTTATTTCCTCTCATTTATTTAAATGATATATTATTTAAATGTAATACATATATATCCCTAAGAATTTATTTGTTCTTGCAAAAACCACGATTTAGATTTTTTCTGTTAGATGAATGATATTTTTTTAATTAATTAATTTATTTGTTTGTTTGTTTGTTTGTTTGTTTGTTTGTTTGTTTGTTTGTTTATACATTGATTGATTGATTCGTTCATTGATTCTTTCTTTCTTTCTTTCTTTCTTTTTTTCTTACTTTCTTTTTGTTAACATCCGTGTGTACAAATCATATTATTATTTGGTTCTTTTTTTGTTGTGTGTATAAACTTGTTCGTATTCCTGTTATAAAGGAAGGAGATGCTGGCTACAATATGATAGAATGGGAAAGGGTTATAAGTGAAAATAACTCTTCATTAATTTCGTGCGTCTGAAGCGCTTTTCCGGTTTTCCCTTTAATCAGCAATGCTAAAACCAAACCTTTGAATGCCAAGGACCAAACTGAACACTTAAGTTGGTGATTACCGACAGGACTATAATAGTAATTGGTCGATGCATCAGTAATTATGAATGGCATATTAATCATTCTAAGGATTAGACGGTCCCCTACTCCCATTACAAAAATATGTTTTTTGAAACAGATGGGTCGTTAAGGTTAACCTTCTCTAAGTTGTCCTCAGTGATGATTTATCTATTTAGACAGAAAAAAGTAAATCAACAAAAATACCGAACTCCAAGGAATTTTCAAAACGGAAAGTCCCTTATCTTGAATAATCCAGACTAATTTCGGTTTGTGAGAATGATTTTAGTCTCATGAATTTATATACTTGACGATGTACAATAAAGTCAAAACTGGTATTATCATACACAGGATTGGAAAGTAAACCATTGTGAAAATAGTATAACTACGTTTGATTGGAATGGGATATAAATGTATATAAATAAAAGAAGATCTGGAATGAATGTCAATGCGACAGCAACTCCACAAAGAGTATAAGATCTTCAACAATAGACTAGCGTCTATAATGTTTAGATCTAAATTGGAATTGTAAATTAATCTATATATCAGAGATTATCAAAGATCTGCCATCAACTCTAAATACCCATAATGCCAAAAACGTAATGACGATTCCTGATTTTGGGATACACTTGAACATGTGGCGGAGTAAAAGTATTGTTTTGGACCTTAAGACCCCCCTTTTTTATTTTGATCAGCGAATAACAAAGATAGATTTAAAGAACGTTTAATAAAAATGAGTAAAGTATCCACTTCAAATATCGTAAGTACAGGTACAGATAGATAAGATCAAAGATAAACTGACAACGCCATGCATCATGACATTAAAACGAAGGATGACGAAAAGACAAGTACACATAACACTTTACATAGAAAACACTGAGCAACATATACCTCACCAAAAACTGGGCGATCTCAGGTGCTCAGGAAGGGTAAGATTTCGAATCTAAGTGAAAATAACAAAACTAATTCATAACTATTTTGGAAATTATGCTAATCATTCGGATATTCATGCGAATTCACTTTTTCGTGTCAGGGATGTGATAAAATATTGTAAACCATTAAAAAATAAAATGATATAAGAATTCACATATGTTTTGCCAGGAATCGCCAATTTCAAATCTCTGTCGATTAGCCAAATGTGTATTGATCAAATTTTAGCACTAATGCGTTAGCTAGTTTGGCAGCTATATGTATTGTGATTCTGCTAGATATATATATAAGCTGATATGTATATCGTAAATTCAAATCATAGCGAACACCTGATTCTATACAAGATATGATTTGATTCGTGATTGCTACGATAAATCACCACAAATGTAATACAAAAAAGATATGACAGTTCAAAATAAATGACACTGTTTAGTCGAATATGTAGTTTGGGTTTGGCTCATGGTTGAAAGCTGTATCATAGCATATAATTGCTTACATCGACGTCATTTGAACGCTGTTGGATAATTGTCTCAAAGGCAGTCATACCACGTCTACTTATTTTTGTATCTGTATCATGACTGATCTTTTGGGTAAAGGTAATTTAAATCATCATGAAATATTTCTGTGATTTCTTAAATTATTTTTATAATGCAAATATCATAACTTATAAAAAAAAAAAGAAAAGATAAAGATTTTTTTAAAATGCAAAGGGATTGTTTTCAATATTCTTAATTAAATTAAATCGGAAATTAAACAGCTGTATCATCTTTGCCGATAGAGTAGCGATCATAGCAGCTAAGTTTAACCAGATTGCATCGAATTGTACACCATCTATATATTTGGTATTTACATAAAACATGCAGTTAATGGTCGTAAATTAAAATAAGGAGATGTCGTAAGATTACAAATGCGACAAAAGGACGAGGATGAAAACAATTATAGGTCATCGTACGTCCCTCAAAAATGGGCAAAACCTTTACTGCATAGTACGTTATAAAAGGCCCCAGCATGACAAAATTTTAAAAAATCATAAAGAGAAAACCAACAGTCTGATTAATGATAACACAAAACAAGAAAAATGAACAAAGCAGACAACAACCAGCGACAACCACTGACGTACGGGCTCTTGACTCTGGACTGGCGGAATGTGGCGGAGTTATGTATGTATGTATATATATATATGTATAATATATGTATGCACAATCGTCGATGTTTTGAAAATGTGCACATCCAAATTGTGCTAATTATCAAATTTTGAAATACTCAATATACCATATACCAGTGTGTACATTGATCAAGGTAAACATCCAAAATAATCACACCTTTCCCAAAAGGTTTTGATATTGCAGTAAAAGTAAACAGAAATTATAAATAATCAGTCTTATCGAACCTACATGAAAAGAGAGTAAACTCGCCATGTATTCATTTAACTGACATTTAAGACGTAGAACAAATAATAATTATATTTAACAAATCAATGATATATATTTTCAGATATAAGGATCATCGTGGTTATGACCTTCTGTTGTTTGATTACTTTAGGTATGTAGATAACCTAACAAGATAAACAAACTCATATGTTTTCATCATATACATAAAGTTTCCATTTTGTAACTATAATTTAAACACACTTATGTTTTCAATACCGTATTGTGCACTGGTTGAAAAAAAAACTCAGGAAATTGCTAGTCTTTAAAAAAAAAGAACTTGTTTGATGACATTCAATATACATTTTTCTTATAACTAATATTGCACATAACAAATTTAGTGAAAGAGAGGCGAAAGATACCAAAAGGCACATTCAAACTCATAAGTCGAAAACGAACTGACAACGCCATAGCAAAAAAGAAAAAGACCAAAAGACAAACAACAGTATACAAAACACAACATAAAACTAAAGAATGAGAAAAACTAAAAACTAGTGACTTTTGGAATTTAAATAATATTAGCAATGCATGGTCAAAAGTGAACTGTTAAAAGTTTCGAATTTTTGATTTCGTTGTTAGATTTGATTCCTCTGTATCTTTTTTTGAATTTTACAACAATAATATAGTCAAGTAGTTTTTACTAGTGTTGACAATCTTTTTAAACTGTATTTAATATATTCATTTGAATAGATCCTGTGATTTTGGAAATGACCAGTTCGAATTTCACCGAGGAAAATAACAATGTTACAATCAAAGTATCGCATAATGAAGCACATAACACAAAAGCTCAAACTGTGCAGAGTTCAACACCCATCAGTTTGACTACAGTTCAAACTAAAGATGCCTCATTGATTGCAGGAACGCAAGAAAACTTGTCGAAAGCAACTAAAATATATACAAAAGCGACGAAAATGTCATCAACAAAACCCTTAAATGTTAATCAATCCCCTTCAGTTTCTGCATCTCCATTAACATCTTCTGCGAACACAAACAATGCCATTCAAGATAAAAATTCTACATATTCGTCGACTTTATCGACATCAACTGTACCTTCAACTCCCACTATGCAAACAATAAAATTGACATCTGCAACGACTGAATCGACACAACCATATTCTACTTTCAACACGACAGAATTTATAAATTCTAGCCCAATATCAGGGAGAGAAATGCAGTCTACTGAAAAAACACAACTACTTACTGAAGTTATTACTCCACCACCGACCGCTACAGTACAACCTCGCAAATCAACATCCAAACAGCCTACTCGAACAACTGAAACAACAATATTTAGCGTATCTCTCACAACAGGGGGAATTTTCCAAACAATTAACAAAAAAGCATTTCACTCATCGTCCCAATCAGAAACTACTTTAAGTAAAATCAAGAATCAAACACTCACTACATCGAACAAGACAAACGTGCATGCAACAAATTCACAAATAAGTTCATCTACAGGGACTAGCGGAGAAACACAACCAATGTTAACGGAAAATCTAACGGACAACCATTATATTGTAACAACATCGACAGTTTCATCATCAAAAAAGGAAGGTAATGCCACAACACCAGCAAGCTTGACAACAATAACGACTTCGCCAACACGGTCAAATTTACATTCTACCACAGCAACAAAGAATGCATCCGGTCTTAAAAACATAACAGATGATACAACAACCCGAGAATCTACTAAAGCAATTCTGTCATCTCAAACTACTCCAACCTCCAAACACTATATTTCGTCCATTACATCATCGTCAAATATAACAACGCCCAGTGGAACAGGTCAAACATCGACAAAAACACCAACAACGATACAAACCACTGCAACAGGATTGTCAAAGACAATAACAGGATCTCTTCAACATGCGACAACAAAGGAAACAGAAAATGTACCGTTAATAACTATACCATCGACGCTGTCAGGTTCATCTTCTAGTACATCAAACACAACACTTACCAGTCAATTAAATGTCATTTCTACAAATGCACCTCCTGTTTCAACAGTAGGTACAGAAACTACTGACCTTTCAAATCAAACAACCATATTCGGTAAGTCAACACTTTACACAACACACAGCGATACAGGGAAATCAAATCTAACAACTCAAGAGTCAGGGCAAACATCAGTATCAGTTGATACAACCAAAGTTCCAACAACAAGCAAATTACAATCAACAAGTATAGAGCCGCCACAATCATCAACAACAACATCATTATCATTGGACATTAGCACGCTTCAATCTGCAAGTGGAACTGAAAAACAACAGTCATCACAACAAACAACATCTAAGACAACTATAAAAATTAAGTCTTCGAATGAAATAACAATTCCACCTCCATCAACAACATCAATTGAAAATGGTCTAAACAATTCTTCAAATGGAATTACAACGTATGAGCCATCCCCAACCATTACATCCATGGAAAGAAGTAATCTTACTTCTACAAATGATATTCCAACGCAGCCTCCGTTAACAACAATATCCACGGAAACAAGAAATCTTACCTCTGCAAGTGACATTACAACACAGGCTCTGTTATTAACAACATCCGTGGATACAAATATTCTTAACTCTACAACACAGCCTCCGTTACAGTTACAAACAACACCCGTGGATAATCTTAATTCTACAAGCGAAATAACAATGCAGTCATCACCAACAAAAACATCCGTGGAAACACGAAATCTTAACTTTACAAGTGGAATTACAACACAGTCATCACCACAAACAACATCCCCGGAAATAAAAAATCTTAACTCTACAAGTGGAATTACAACGCAGTCGCCATCATCAAAAACATCCGTGGAAAAATATAATCTTAACTCTGCAAGTGGAATTACAACACATTCACCACCGCCAACAACATCAGTGATAACAACTTATCATACCTCAGTAAGCGGAATTACAAAGCAGTCACTACCACCAACAACATCCGTGGAAACAAGTACATTTAAACCTGAAAATCTAAGTACAGAACAACCATCATCATCAACAATAACATCCATGAAAACCAGTCATCAGAAGTCTACATATGGAATTACAACTCTGCCACCATTATCAACTTCCCAACCATCATCAACAGAAACAACTTTATTTACAACAATTACCCAACTACTTAAAACTGTTACTAAAAAGCGAACGCTTACACCAACTGTGAAATCAACTACCCATCCATCTACAACACAACTGCTATCAACAGAATCGTCATATATCAAAACGAGTAAAGTTAGTTCCACAAATGAATTAACAACGCAACCACCAACAATATCCATGAAAACCAATAAATATAATTCAACAAATGTTACTACTAAGCAATCGCCATCATCAGCATCAACTGTGATAACAACAAGTAATACAAAAGCTGTAAAACTTTCAACTACAACAACAGTCGGTAAGTACCTTGAAGCAATATGTGTTATAAAATTTACTTTTGAAAAAGAAATAGCCATAGTTTTTTAAACATTTTAAACCCTAGAAATAGCCTGCATATGCCGATTAATGTGATTGCTGCAACTGAGTAGGTACCCCTGCTCGTGGACTGCTAGTCCTTGCAGGTATCAACAGCCCAATAGCTCAGGAATTACAGATATTGTGTTATGGAAACTTGTTGTTATACAATTTAGAAGTCATTGAAATTAAGGAGTGTATCTCACTTGTGCATAACTCTGACTGTTTACACGTGGAACAGGATCTTCTTACCCTTCCGTAGCACCTGAGATCACCCCGGGATTTTGGTTAGAGTTCTTGTTGTAAAATCTATCGTTTTCTATGTTGTGTTTTGTATACTGTTATTCGTCTTTTGGTCGTTTTTCGGTTTTTGACATGACATTGTCAGTTCGTTTTCGCTTAATGAGTCTGAATATCCCATTGGTATCTTTCGTTTCCCTTTTAGTGATTTTCAAGTATATCAGCTCTTTGAAGTTTCAATTTGGTTTTGGTTGTTTGATAACTTTTTCTGCAATCATCACTGAAAAGAACTTAATTTTCTAAATGTCTTTCGTTGCTGTACAATAGGTTTTTCCGTTTACTGTGATTAAATAGATTCCTTTTTGTTGCTAATGCTACTAAGCTACTGCTTGGAATCCAATGGGCTTCCCATTAATAATTGAACATTAACAGGTTGTTGGGTTTTTTAACAAAGAAAATTTAAAAAAACATGAACAAAACAAATAAAGGATTTATTAATATGGTGTCTTCCTGATGCTAGGGTAGTCATAAAATGAATATAATTTTACCATAAAATCAATTTATTTCTTGTATCAAATTGTAGGACCGTGTAGAAACCCGTTTTCTGTAATACAAGGAGGTTGTAGAAAACCATGTGACGAGGACGATGTATCTTGTGGAAGTAGCGGGAAATGTTACATAGATGATGATAAACTAACCATCTGTGTGTGAGTATTACTGATTCCTGAATTAAAGATGTACTTAGGTGAAATTAAAAAAATAGATTTTAAAATTGATACTATAAGTCAGAAGAGCATTAGTTAAGGAACAAAATAAGCTAAAAATATTGTTAAGTTATGGAGCTCCTTTTCGAGATATTTAATTTTTTTAAATGGCGGGAAAAGGTTGACTCGGACTTTAACCTTATATTTGCATTGATATTATTTAGGTCTCAAATCGAAAGAAAAGAAATCTAAAATCTGCTTAAATTTTGGTAAATGACCTTTTATGAGCTATTGAAGTCTTATATGAAAAGAAAAATGGGTGTTATGGGGCAAAATATTTTACCCTGTATCGTAGGAAAATAACCAAGGAGTCCGAACATCTGACAAACACTCCTAAACCTGACCCAAGTACATCCTTAAGAACTGAATATTGTCATTATTCCTATAATCTACAGGGACTCATAGATCATTTTCGATGTAATACAAATAAATGGAAGATACCAAAGGAACAATCATAATTCATAAGTCGAAGAGACACCGCCACAACCATGAAAAAAATGTAAAACGACTAAAAGACAAAGAACAGTCTACAAAACACTACACGGAAAACTAAAGACTGAGCAACATGAACCCAACAAAAATTGGAGCTTATATCATGTGCGCTGGAATAGTAAGTAGGTCCTTCTCTACACGTTGTCACCCGTCGTGTTGCTCAATAAATGTCTTCCAATTTTAAGCAATAGTGCTATAATTTTCAGTAATAGAGGGAAATCAGAACAAGCTGCAACACTTTTGGACTAACTTACCAAAATTTCACTCTCAGTACTCGTAAGTTATGTTGCGCTACCTCGACGTACTTCTTAATGATGTCTGGAACAAGCATAACGTGTAAAATAGTGACGCTTCCCTAATGCACAACCTTTTTTTAATTGCTCAACTAAATAAATCTGTTTTTTAAATTAGTTCTCTCGATAAAAAGAACACTGGCGATGATTAAAACATCTGAATACGTCATTGCAAAGAAACCTATCTCAAAAAAAGCAAATTGCGCACATATTTCACATTTTTATGACCTGTTGTCAACTTTTGTCATATATTCTGAAAACATTTGCTATTTAAATAATATATATATCGCGTGTGTACGATAACTTTCTCCTGTTCCAAAGAACCCCAGAATAAGTTTCTTTTAAAACAAACCTACATGTTTCATAAAACAATTTATTATCTATGACATAAGCTAAAAGAACTCGCCGAGGAATTTGTTTTTGTTCCGGCTGATACGGCTGCTAACAATATCATTATTGTTTGACGTAAATTTTACATTGAGGTTCTAAAAAAGGAAATCACGAATTCACCAACATTCCAACTGACATTTTTGGAAAATGACATCTGTAACATAAACTTTTAGCTACCTCTTTACAAGCAGAACCAAATACAATGAAAGTTCCAACTATGTACTGGCTTCCGAAGCTGCACAAAACTCCTTACAAATATAGATTAATTTCGTCTTCAAGCCATTGTTCCACTACTAAACTATCAGTTCTACTTACTAGTACACTTGGTACAATCAAAAACTTGGTAATAAATTGTTCAAATAAGGCCTTTAAAAATAGTGGAATTAATTACTTTTGGAGTGTCAAAAATTCGTTGGAAGTACTTGATAAATTGCATGCTTATATTGGTGATTTTGAATTTGTTCAAAGTTTTGATTTTTCTACCCTATATACCACTTTGCCTCATAATCTTATTAAGAAAAAATTCACACACCTGATTAAATGGGCATTTAAAAAGTCGGAATGCGAATATATACAATCAAACTCTTTTAGGTAACTTTTTTAGTAACAACAAACAAAAGAACTATGTCAATTGGACCTGCTTTGATACCATAACTGCCCTTGAATACTTACTAGATAACATATTTGTTCGCTATGGAGATTCCGTATATCGTCAGGTTATTGGAATTCTCATGGGAACTAACTGTGCACCACTTATTGCGGACCTGTTTCTGTATTGTTATGAGTTACAATGTATGACTAAAATCAGCAAAGACCCATCGAAACAACATCTAATTCAAAATTTAAATAACACTTTTAGATATTTAGATGATATATTGGATCTAAACAATGACGACTTCAGTGTGTACACTAAAGAGATTTAGCCTGCCGAACTGACTTTAAATAAAGCTTATACTAACAATGAACACTGCCCATTCCTGGATCTTGATATCTATATCTGTAACGGGAAGCTTAATACCAAAATTTATGATAAAAGAGATGATTTTTCATTTCCTATTGTTAATTATCCATTTTTAGATGGTGACGTTCCCTTGTCACCCTCTTATGGTGTTTATACATCTCAACTTGTTCGATTCGCTCGTGTATGTACCAACGTATTTGATTTCAACGAAAGAAATCTCTGTATTACTGAAAAATTATTACACCAGGGTTTTCGATATCACAAACTAGTCAAAACATTTACTAAATTTTATCATCGGTACAAGGACATCATTCGTAAATATAAATCAACATGCAGACATCTTATACGTTCAGGTATTTCACATCCAATATTTTATGGTAATATTCTTTACAATGCACAAAAATGTCGGCATTCACCTCAAAAGCTAACCAAACCTTTAAACAGACTTATTTGGAAGGGATATAGTTGCGATACAGTTGTCAGGTCATTAAGGATTGCATATTTTGGTATTAATATTGATTCACTCATAGGGTCTTTGCATTGGAAATAAACACATTTATTCTAAAACCAGTTGTTGGCATGATACGGGTTATGTTCTTCTCATATATTTTATGATGGTATGATGCTAAACTGCTAACGGGAGGGATTGTACCTGATTTTCATATGTTGAAGAAATAATCTTTCAATCAGTTTAATTGAGGTCTGGAGCTGGTATGTCAGTAACTGCTAGTAGTCCTTTCTTAATGTATGTGTCATTGTCATTTTGCTTAGTTTCTTTTGTTACCTATTCTGACATCGGACTTGGACTTCATTTAAACTGAGTTTTACTGTGCGTATTGTTATGTGTTTCTTTACTCTACATTGGCTAGAGGTATAGGGGAGGGTTGAGATCTCACAAAACATGTTTAACCCCGCTGCATTTTTGCGCCTGTCCCAAGTCAGGAGCCTCTGGTGTTTGTTAGTCTTGTATGTTTTTTCAATTTTAGTTCCTTTATATGTTTTGGAGTTTAGTGTGACGTCCATTTTCACTGAACCAGTACACAATTTTATTTAGGGGCCGGCTGAGGACCACCTCCGGGTGCGAGATTTTCTCGCTGCGTTGAAGACCCATTGGTGGCCTTCGGCTGTTATCTGCTCTTTGGTCGGGTTTTTGTCTCTTTGACATATTCCCCATTTCCATTCTTAATTTTATTATTAATTTAACAAAATATTCAAATACGAACATCTATAGTTATTGATTTCTTGATTTGCTGTCTCATTGACGCATTACCAATGTGTCTTTTCATTGATAAATAAAAAGATGATAATCAAAATCTTATCTTATTTTATAGATGTAATACAGATGACGGATTGTTTCAACATTCTGGAGACAAATGTGACGTCAGGGAGATGAAATCAAAATACGTAATCACAATAGCTGCTGGCGGTGCTGGGGGAATAATCCTGATTGTGCTATTTATAGTTTGTGGATGTTGGTGTTGGCGACGCACACGCGATAGAAGTTACGCGTAAGTTTTGCAGACATATTCATTTTTTTTTCTTTCGATAAGTAACTTTATGAAATTTCATTGATGGTATATTTTACGTTATTAAAGGAATTGATTTTGTAATAATTACTGTCGCACAAGTGGGAGGTTTAGCTAGCTATAAAACCCATACAGTTTAACACACAATTTTCAAGGGAAAATGCATGTACCAAGTCAGGAATATGACAGTTATTTTTTACTCGTTCCGTTGGTTGATACGTTTTATTTTGTTTTTACAACGCAGTTTTTTCGAACATCCCTTTTTTTAATTAACCTCGTTTGATTTTTTGTTATACTTTTTTATGCATCTACTAGCATTTAAATACTCAATTGTTAAATGGTATTAGATATTTGCAAACCTGCTTTTATAAGCCTGGTATTATATTTATGATTTTTTTCAAAACTCAGTTATCTATGTTGTATTCTACTGCCATGCTTATATTACAGTAGTGAATGGGATTCGCTTCACGACTACCGTGTCTCAGGGAGGAATGTTCAATACATCGATGGCTACAAAACAGATGGAACGTTCGGAAAAGGGAAAGACAACCCGGCTTACGACAAATATTACAGAGAAGGTGATTTCACGGAAAACGACAAAAAGGTAAAAGTTTGTCAGAAACTAAGTGTACGCTTAAATATACAAAAATAAATATTTATTTGAAAAATAAGGAAACAAATGAACTTGTACTCCTGCGCTTCTGCATATTATAATTATGCTGGTAAACCTACAGTAGTCAGTTTTACAATTGCCTGGACATGAGCCTCATACAGAATAATTGTTTTGCAATGTATTTCTCCCTCTTAATCACTATCTCTGATGCACTGTTCAACTCTTAGGTATCGATTACACAAAAGTTAACGCTTCCGTCCGCTTATTTATTTGATAATTTGATGTTTTATTTAAACCGGTGGTGATCTAGTTCAGACTAAGTCGTTCTCTTAAAATGAATTTTTAACTTGAATAAAGGAAACATTTGGGTAAATGTTAATAAAAGCAATTCACCGACACTATGTATCAAGCATGATGCGTGAAACACATTCTAATGTGTTAAATATCCTTTCAGTAGGAATATAAATGAAGCTTTAAAAAAAGCGATAAGTCCATCAATCACTTATTTTTGTTGTGTGCGAATGAACTCAAAAAGTGGAGTTTTGAAAAAAAAAATGAAATTATTGTGCGACAAACAATAATGATTTTGCAGCATGAACTCAAACAAAAAGCGGAAGTAGAAAATGTCTTCTTCATTTATGACACTTTATCAAATAATCTTTATGAATATGTATGTATTGAGATTCATATCATCAGATTTCAGGCAATAACTTAATGCCTATGCGTAAGCTTATTGCCTTGGATTTAAGCTTAATTGCTAATGTCATTCATTGCCACTAACATATATAAGTTTATAAGATTTATGGTATTTGTTCACAGGATATCGTAATTTCTCCTGAAAACATTGTTAATCGAGATGAAATGTCAAGGAAGGACTCATACACTCATGAAAATTCAAGTTTTCTTTATGTAGGTATTGCATTCTGTTATATGATACAAATTAAAACAAGTAATTGGATCAATATTAAACAAGAATATACTTTTAAGTTGAAACATTTATTTAAATATTATGTTGACACATGTGTTATATCTCAGTTCCAGTTAAAGGTTCAATACATTATCCGTGTAACCCTATGTAGCTTACGGAACTAAAATTCGGATCCATTTCAACTACGTATATGTTGTGTACAAGATGCAAGTTTGTGCAAATTATAATTTGTACAGGGGTTTTTGTTATAAGTTTTTAGGCACATACCTTTTTGCACCAGATAATAAAAGTTTATCTGCTAAAATTTATCAGCTTAATGTCTTAAATTCAAATTGATATACTTCAACCGAACATTTAGTGCTATTCTCCTTGTCCTAAAATTAAAATCAAGGACACCTGAATGGTTTAAATTCTATTTTTATTTTTCTCCTTATACCAAAACCATATCCATAAAAAGTCTTTTTGTGTTCTTATAATGGTTTTTATATCAATGTTCAGTATTAGACTGTATCATGCAGTCATGGAAATATAACAGAAATATGCGAAACACAAGACTGTGTGCTTGTATCATCCATTTGTGTTAAGCGGTTCCTAAAACACTGATAACTTGTACAAAAATTCTGTACAAATTATCATTACAGTTTGTACACAACATATATACCTCAAATGGCCCTTAATTCAATGCATTACATGTGATAAAATCAGTTTTTATTTCCAATTATAAACTATTCATTTATAAACAGTAACATACCCTTTGCTCTGTCGTATGACGTTTACAAATCTCAGTTAAAACGTTACGCTCGTGCATGTACACACTATACCGACTTCATTGATAGGAGTGAGTTCCTTACACAAAAACTGCTAAAACAGAGTTATGAGAAATCGATACTACATAAGTTGACTGATACGATGTGCCTTTGTTTCAACTCGCTTGCAATATGTTTTCGCGGTGATAGCTCTTTAGATACCAGTGTAGTCTTCTGATCAGGAATTATACCTAGTGTGGCCTATTCCTGGTTGGGTCATTTTTATTAAGTCTCTCAAACGAAGTTTGGGAAGACTTATTGTTTTTGCTCAGTTCTTATTATAATTATTATTATTCTTCCTCTTCCTCTTCCGCCGCTTTTAAATTTGAACTTGTCCGCACCCGTTCTCCAAAACCGCTAGTCAGATTAACTTAGGGTTTCACAATATGTTAGACTAACATGTCTAGTGGTGCAATCAGGATTTTGTTTGTGCAATAGGGTTTATAAAGGGGTACTTTGAGGGGCGAAAAGAAGGGAGGGTTTTACTATAGAACCCTATAGGATTTTATTTTAAAAAATTTTCAAATGATTATAATTTGAAATCTGTTTGTGATAGACACAATCTTTTTAATTGAAAATGTTCTAAATGATAAAACACCTTAAATGAAATACAGGGTTAGTCCCCAGGGGTCACCCCCACCCCCTGCCATTTAAGAAAGTTCTAATACCTTGTAAGTGGTCAAGATCCCCACCCCTAAACTATATATATTCTGTTTTGTCATGCTAAGATAGTTTGAATGGGTCATCCCGACCCCCTGCCATTTGAGAAAGTTCTAATATCTTGTAAATGGTCGAGATCCCCACCCAAAAACCATATATATTCTGGTTTGTCATTATAAAGCAAATCAAATGAAATACAGGGTTAGTCCCCAGGGGTCACCCCACCCCCTACCATTTAAGAAAGTTCTAATATCTTGTAAGTGGTCAAGATCCCCACCCCTAAACCATATATATTCTGGTTTGTCATGCAAAGATGGTTTGAATGATATACAGGGTTAGTCCCCAGGGGTCACGCCCACCCCCTGCCATTTAAGAAAGTTCTAATATCTTGTTAGTGGTCATTATCCCCACCCCTAAACCATATATATTATTGTTTGTCATGCAGAGATGGTTTGAATGATATACAGGGTTAGTCTCCAGGGGTCATCCCCCACCCCCTGCCATTTGAGAAAGTTCTAATAACTTGTAAATGATCGAGATCCCCACCCCTAAACCATATATATTCCTGTTCGTCATGTCTCGAACATTTGAATGACGTATAGGGTCAGTCCCCAGGGGTTCCCCCCACCCCCAGTGTTCTAATATCTTGTAAATAGTTGAGATCCCCACCCCTAAACCATATATATTCCTGTTCGTCATGTCTCGAACATTTGAATGACGTATAGGGTCAGTCCCCAGGGGTTCCCCCACCCCCAATGTTCTAGTATCTTGTAAGTGGTCGAGATCCCCACCCCTAAACCATATATATTCTGGTTTGTCATGCCAAGATGATTTGAATGATATACAGGGTTAATCCTCAGGCATCACTAATGCATATAACTTTACCAAACCAATTTTCACTGGACTTTGCCCAATGTCAGACGACCCTGGGAATTACGAATTATTGGAGCTTCGTTTGGGAGACTTCGTAACAGCATCCTGTTACAATAATTTCTTGTTGAGTGTGAGTTCGCTTGGCGGGTAATGCAGGCATAGCAAGTGACGGTTACCCTGTCAAGGCACCCAATCTTGACCCTTTTTTGATTACATGCGATTCCCTTAGTTTCTGTTTGTTACCTTGATCTGTCTCTTTCTAATCGGTTTACGAGGTTAGAACATCGAAAAAACTACTGTTGCCTTAATTTTTGTTAAAGATTATTATAATCTCATGCACATGTAACAATTTCAAATCTATAGTGCGACATTTTTTAATCTGTAGAGTGACGTATGGAAACCAAGAAGTTTACGTTTAAAGCCAGACACCAGTTGAAGTAAGTACAAACTATCAATTTATCATATAGATAGAAGTTGTGTGACATGTTTGAAAATTAAAACCAATGTATATGCAATAACCATGTATATGTGGAGCTTAGTATCGAATATCAAGAAACAGTAACACCAAGTATTTCTTTTGCCAATCATTGCGCCAAGGATGAGCGAATCAATTACAACTATATATATTATGTAGTTAACTGATTCTTTTGAAAAATGCGCTCACAATCATAAACAAAAAGAACACCAAAGATTAGGTCCCAGGTTAGGGGAGGGTTGAGCCCTCACAAACATGTTTAACCCCGCTACATTCTTTATGTGCCTGTCCCAAGTCAGAAGCCTGTAGTTCAGTAGTTGTCGTTGGTTCATGTCTGTCATATTTGTTTTTCGTAAATTGTTTTGTTATGAATTAGGTCGTTAGGTTTCTCGATTGAATTGTTTCATATTTTTCATGTTGGGGCCTTTTATAGCCGACTATACAGTATGTTTTTTTCTCATTGTTGAAGGCCGTACGGTTGCCTATAATTGCTTACATCCACTTTATTTGAACTTTAGAGGATAGTTGTCTCATTGGCAATCATACCACATCTCCTTATTTTTTTTTATAAATAAACAAATTTAGAACAGCTAGAGACAATATCCAATTTGAAGATTAACTATGCATAAAAGATGATAGGGGATCTGTTAGTGAGACAGCAACAGAAAAACACAAATACAACCAAAATACATACTAATATATAGGTCAACATACCTATGCGTAGGAACTATTTTGTTTTAGATGTGTACTACTTTCCAGTATGTTCTTTTTGACCGGGTCCGATTAGGTGGTGTTACATCTTACAAAGTCAACGGAATTATTTCAGTTTGCAAAAAATTCCGCTGAAACCGGTGCTAGGGGCCGTCTTAAAATTGCAGTGAGGTGAGAGTTTTTTTGTTCCATGTTAAAGACCACACTGTGACTTTGAGAGGAAGAACAGCAATTAAATCGCTGTTCCTTTGCTTTTTGTGTGCTTTATGCTGTGTATGTACTGATTTTGTGTCATGGATGGATTCCCCTATTCCTTTGTTTTCTATTATACGGTATTCAACAACAGAAAAGTGTATGCACAAATTGTCGTCCCGACTATAGGCAATATCTGAACATTTTAACAGCAACTGCAACAAAAATTCCTTATGAGACAAACACAGATAAGATACAAACAAAAGCATTTTTTCACAAAATTTTCTGTCTTCGAACAAAAAACTTTAACATGTTAAAATAGTTTTTCGTGTTTTCACACTCTTATATCTGTTGAATTGTATATATACGTTTCAATGAAACAAAAAAATAATTTGCGACTACTTCAGCGTTTGAATATTAGTAGATTTGTCATATAAAGCACTCAAGTAACTATTTTTTTGTCTTTTCAGAGGAATCCTTCTTGACAACAGAAACGACGAACAAATACTCATAACTTAACAATTGTCCATTACGAAAAATATAGAGTGTCCAAGCATAAAACTGCATGTTCATTACATACAATTTTGACTGCATATCGGGAAAAAAACGATACCCGCTACGCGTGGGAAAGGGGATAAGTTATAAAATAGTATGCGTGGTGTACTTTGCCTGAAATATATTATAATCTCCATCTTTTTTGTGTCTTAATCCTTAGTGTCGAATTATGTGTGATAATTGCCTTCATCTCATTTAATAGGACATTGTCTTTGATAAACCTCTTCACTTTTATATCCTTGATTTTTAAGAGGGGATATATAACGAGTATTGTGTGCGTTTGTTCGTATTTTCGTTCAGTTTCTGGCACCTTTGACTCGTATATGCTTTTAAGGCAGTTGAAGGATTTGACTAAAACCTATTGAAGTGCTTTTCTGGGTTTACCTCCATCAGTAACGATCAAAGCCAAAATTTGAAAGCCAAGGATGTAAAAGAACCGAAAGAGTTGAAGAGCTATATTACCAAAAAGGACATAAAAAGCCAAATCCATATAAGGTCAACTTTACATGAGTGATTTTACTTTCTTAGAAATATATAAATTTATAAACAGATTATTTTAGAAAGATTTCTTATAAATTATGTAAAGTACAGACTGCTTGATGATACCTTTGAAGACTGATAGTCCACCAGCAGCGGTATCGATCAAGTGCTGTAAAAAAATGAAAACAACACTTTATAAATTTCATGCGTCCATTAACCATCCATAAGTCTTTGAAGGAAAAGCCAACGAGACTAGGAATCATAATCTTGTCTACGGTTTTGACCACGCGCAACAGGTATCACACGTTGATAATGAAGTGTTAGTATTATATACGGGTAGATTTAAATAAATTATGGAAGGAGCCTTTCAGTAATTTGATTTTATTGTATGATAAAGCATGATAAGTGCGGGATATCTAATCACTTTTAAAGAAAATATTGGTGGAAATTATGTGAACGTCTACAACACAAAACATGTTGAAAGTCCATACTCCAAACTCGTTATTATAACTGCAAATTTATGAAGTCTGCTGTCTACACTAAATTTATACAGGACAGGTATGAAGTTTGAAATTTCAATATTTCCACTAAAATGTCGAATCATGGAGACTAAAAGAGAGATACCAAATGAACATTCAAACTCACAAGTCCTTGTATTATCGTAAAGTAAAACAACAGGAATGTTCATTTAAGATTGGTATAAGTATAACACAGTGTTAACTACGTGGTTTGAAGGTTATCATAGTCCATTTTCGTCTATGATTTATCTTCCAGGTATATGAACCCATCCCGTAATGATTGTAGTTGGTAATGTTGTTGCACCTGAAACAAAATGCATCTTTTTAAATATTTTTTCCACAATATATATAATATTAGTTATGCCAGCTACTACTTATAATAACATTTGTGCATTTGGGCAATGTATGTCTCTTTTAGTGATGCTCGATACCGAAATATTTGAAAATCCAAACCTAATACAAACGTTGAAGAGCTGATCACACTAAGTCAATAAACGTGTGATGCCTTGTTAGATCTAAACCTAACTATATTATCGCATTAAATACATATATGTGTGATGCCTTGTTATTCTATTGATCATCATGGGCTTACAGTGGCACAAATCATAAACAAAGTCCTTAAGAAGCTTAAGGATATCAAGAGGTCTGTGATTTTCTTGTCACAGCTGATACTAACTAATTCACAGTTCATATACAATGTAACTCTTCGAGATTCCTAAATGTATTTCCTCATATTCATGAAAAACCATAGTTAAAAGAAACTGTGATTTACCCTTTTATATTTCGTAGAATTGCACTTGATAAAAAAATCTTAATTATTGACTGGTAGAGTTCTGTCAGAAGTGTTTCATATTTAAGAGTCAAAACAAGCTGATTACCGAAGCATCTAAGTTTTCTCTATTTTGATGAGGTCGGGCTGCTCAGCCTGAAGCTTTCTTTAGAGTGTATGATGAAGACCGTATCAAGTATAATCTGGTGCTGTTTTCTGATGTTTATAATTCTACCATGATTAAACATGGCACAGAGGCACTATGTCACTACTGGTGGACGTTTTGTCCCCGCGGGTATCACCAGCCCAATAGTCGACACTCTTGTGTTAACATGAAGTATCACTAATATGTTCATTTTCTGGAAATTTACTGTGTATAAAATGTTCAATTGTTCGAAACACTTCGGTTTTTCTATCCTTAGGTATAGTTTGCCATAGTCGTATTTGGCACAACAGTTAGAGTTTTCTGTTTTCGAAGCTGTACAACTTTGTACACTTCTACTGATTTATTCGAGCACCACTGATGAGTCTTATGTAAACGAAACGCGCGTCTGGTGTACCAAATTATAAGCCTGGTATCTTTGATTATGTTTTACGCATTTACCTATTCCTATTTTTGAGGTGTCCAGTACGATCTGGCATTGTTTTCCTGAGTATATAATTCTTCCATTATCTGAACTAGGACAAAAACACTTGTAACTAGTCTGTGTATTTCTACATATACCATCGTTAATGCATGGAGAACTCTGACAGTGACCACTACCTAAAAAGGAGAAACGAACGTGCAATTTTAATATTTTTGAATTCAAAGTGCCTGTCCAAAGTAAGTAGCCTGTAATTCAGGGGTTGTCGTTTGTTGCTATATATCATATTTGTTTTTCTTTTATTGTTTTGTCCGTAAATCAGGAGGTTATTTTTCGAGTACATACACACATTGATAATCTGATGTAACCTATTATGTCTGTTAAGGCTGCTCACCCAATTTAGTCAATATAATGGAACTATAAACAACTGTCATACAAGTAGGTTTAACCCACCATTTTCTTCGGAAAATGTCTGTACCTAGTCAGAAATATGACAGTTGTGTTTCCCCGGCCTCATTGGGTTGATAACGTTTAATTTTTCAGTTTTTATGGAGTTTCCTCTTTTATAATTTACCTTTGAGTTCGGTATTTATGCTATACTTTTTGTCTGACAACATAATTGAAAATTTTATTACAAAAACGCTCGAGCCACGATAATTCACCGAATGTGATTTTTCTTACCTATCGTTTTCTTTAATGTTGTTTTTGGTGGTATTGGTGTTGTTGTTGTTGTTGTTGTTGGTGGTTGTGTTACTTTAGTTGGCGAAGACGATGTAGCAGATGATTGTTGACTACAGGTACTGTCTGGCTGCACTGGATGTCCAATCAACCCAAATCTCATTGATATATGGTTATGGAATTTGATTGGATTTATTCGCAGACATTTTACAACAAAAGGTTCGTCAAACGTATTGGTTACTTTTGTGTTTTCGTCGGAGTTGCCTGTGAAGAGCTATTAAAAAATCGAAATAAGTTTTAACAATACTAAGATTCAGTGACTAAAGATATTTTCCTGACTTAAAAAATTAATGTGTGTCTCAGTTAGTACGTAAGTAAGTAAGCAAGTAAGTAAGTACAGACTCATCAAAGAGAAGTAAGTGAGAAAGCAAGTAAGTAAGTCTGTAGAGTTTAATTTAGGCATACATTCTTTACTGTGCGTATTACTGTGTGTTTGTTTATTCTACATTGGCTAGAGGTATAGGGGGAGGGTTGAGATCTCACAAAACATGTTTAACCCCACCGCATTTTCGCGCCTGTCCCAAGTCAGGAGCCTCTTGCCTTTGTTAGTCTTGTATGTTTTTTTTAATTTTAGTTCATTTATATGTTTTGGAGTTTTGTGTGACGTCCATTTTCATTGAACTAGTACACATTTTGTTTAACGGCCAGCTGAAGCCCGCCTCCGGGTGTTGGATTTTCTCGCTGCGTTGAAGACCATTGGTGGCCGTCGGCTGTTTTCTGTTGTTTGGTCGGGTCGTTGTCTCTTTTACACATTCCCCATTTCCATTCTCAATTTATTCTAATTGTTTGACTGACATTTAGTTTTCATGCAATGTTACTTTTACAGAGATAACAAATAATAAACACATGAATACAGTCCGGATGATGTAGAGCTTGACACACCTGTGTATCGCTGATGGTTGTATGTTGCCCATTACATGCCTTTATATGTTTTTTGGTTATTTGTGCTGCTGGGTTGCCGTCTCATAGATCATAGATCAAATTTATCCTTTACTTCCTTTAATTTATTGATACATGAATAATGCATTTAATGCCAGAGTGAAATATTTTGACATATATAGGTAATTAAGTATCTGGTATAATCTATTTGGATAAATATAGAAATGGTTAGTTCGCAAGCTGGATAGACAGACTGACTGTTGGATTGATAGAGGAACGAAGAATAATAGACACTTTACAAGATATATTTTGATTGTTTTAAGTTCAGTCTATATAGATTAAATCCCCTTATCATATTAGAACACTTCGTCTATATCTACGGTCTATTCTAAAATATTTATATTATAAGAAAGATAAAAAAAAACATTGGAAAAAATAGAGGATGATTTGAAATGTTGATAAGTCGAAGAAGATGTAGGAATGAATGAGTTGAAGTACATATAAATGGATGGCTGAATGAACAATTAATGAACTAATTTGTAGCTTTATGGGGAATAAATGAGTCTTCGGATGACGATTGTCAAAACACAGAGAGCAATCAATGTAGTCTACTCATTTGTTAAAATATGCTGCATACTAGACAAAGAATGAAAAGCAATATATATTACGAATCTACCTACTGCTCCGCTTTTACTATCTAGTGCCCGCCAGTTGTTGCAATCATCACTATAAAGTATGCGATAGGACTCGACCCATTCTTGACAACAACCATATCTGCCTTGAGTTACTAAGCCTGTTAAGTTGAATTGTTTCTTCATTTCTATCTGGAAAGTGCAATGTAATGTATTACGTTTTTAACGTGGCTTAGAATTAGAGGTGTGCAGTTAGTACCCATATGAATTCCGAAAAAGTAACGTTAATGTTATATATAATTTATTAATAAATGAAGTATACAATCTTGTAATAACGAACGGAAATATTGTCAAACAAGAAATTTAAAACCATATTTTTCTTTGCGTTGTTTTTGTTTTGTTTTTGGCCATTGTTTTAATTTGTGTGTGTTTGTTTTATAACTTATTGTTAATTTTCATAGTACCCCTTGTATCTTTTCTCCGTTATTGTATAGAAGTAATAGCCATTTCCGAGCAAGTTAATTCAACGAAGGAAAATACAAAGAAGATTGGTTGTAGCTTTTAAGTGTTTGTTGTTTGTTTGTGTTTCAGGCCACTATACTTGTTTCATTGAAATACTATTTTGTGTATTTATATGCGGTAGACGGAACGGTGATTGAATAATTTCTCATTTCATTCGCAACGCTAGGATTATAAGAAAAGTTTTCTCTCCTTCTTTTCAGGAAAGAAAAAAATTAGGATGTCAGTTATAAATCAGCTAAGACAGTGTTCCTTGTTTGTTTCATCCGAATAGCTCTTACCCACACACCGTGTCAACGTTCTCTTCTCGCAAATAAAGCAACACTGCATTAAGTCAAAGTGAGGTTTTATTAATGCAAACATTTCATTACTTTATATCTAATACTTGTATGACATATAACTAATCAAACACAATACCTCTATGAATTGACGAAAATTATTAAAGTTTGCAGACCACGATCCCATATGGGTTACTCCATCACTGCCTTTGTACTCTTGTGAGTCAATTAGTCCCCTTGACACACTAAAATCATGCACTGTATCACCATGGTAAAGTTCACTTGATGATCGGATGATGACGTCATTATAATGAGTTTTTAAAATATCCGAAATACAGTTGACATCTGGATTTAAAAAAAGAAAGACGCAATAAGAAAAAAATTCATTTTTATGTTTTAAAACTTTCTTAAAAAGTCGTATTTTATAGTTGTCGGAAGTTTAACATATTGGACACAGCCAGATATTGGGAATAGTTACACGTATCCGGGATGGTTTCAATCTTAACTTTTTTAGTTGAGTCTTTTTATTTTAAATGGTGCTCATGGATAAAATACTTTCCTCAAAAGAACCTCATTTTTGTGACGTTGGACAGAAAATGTTAGTTTCTAAGCCTTGTAAATTCTCTATTTGAAAGTTATTTGTTTTGCTTTTGTTCGTGTATTTCGTTATATATCTAAAGTATATTGTGATGAGTAAATTCAAATCTTACCGTTATTTTGGTCATGTGCAAGTAGAAAACGTTTGTGAAGGAATCTTTTTCTTACAGCTGTGCTCAATGTTAGCACACTAATGCAAAGTATAACTCTAACTGATATATATTTCTGCAAAAGAAAATATGTTTGGTGGGGGGTAGTGGCAAGACATCAACACAGAGAATTAGATGAACCTTTCAGCTGATAATTGCTATTTTTTTCAAAAATGCATTACTATAAAGTGAAGCTATTTGTCGAGAAATAATGAATGCTTCATTGGTTTTATTTTATTGTTGTTGCTTGGTTTACGTCAAGTAACAAGTATTTCTTTCATAAACATGTCAAGAAAAAAAATACAATTAAAACAATAGGAAAGTTAAGCAAGGGAGGTTGACCGGGATACAGGACTCGGAATTTAAACTGCCCCTGGCAAATGACGATATTTTAAAGGTTTTTTTGCATGAGGGTCTGGATGGGGTTTACTGAACAGAGAATAATGAAGTGCTAAAATATAAAGAATAGAGAATAATGGGCAGAAAATATAAAGAATCAAGTACATTGACCTAAAGAATTAAAGAATACAGAAATGAAGGACCCCTCAATCCAGACCCTCTTGTATGGTGACCATTTTCAAAATGTCGCATTGTTAAGTGTAAATTGTAAATTGTGTTTGAAATTAGTGTTTTACTTGAAACCAAATCGGAAGTTTCCCAAATTCTATTTTTAACTTGGTAATAATGGGTTAGCCAAGTAAAATTTACCAATGCGTTATTGTATAAAGCCTAGATATGACTCATTTAAGGATTTTATACAGGCGTAACACATATTATACCCCGAGTTTATTAGGAACTACTAACCCTTTGAAGGGAATTGTGTTGTTTAATTTTAGTCATTTTTGTCATTGTTTGTCTGTTTTATTGCACAGCTAGTCCCTTGATGTATTCTCTGGCTTTGTGAATATAGAAATCGGTCAAGACATTATTACAATCACATAAAGAAAAGGAATCACAGCTGTAGAAATATTAGTGCAAAAATAATTAAGCAAAAAAACAAATAAGTTAAACTTATGCTTGAATTTACAAATATGTGTAGACAAGTTAGAAAAATAAAATTGAAAAAATGCGCGAGGTTTTCTTGGACGATCTTTTCAAAACTTACCATAGTTAAAGTAAAGAGAGAGAGACTGTCAGCGTAAACACCTACGTTCTACAAATCTCTAGTGTTGTCATTTGGGTTTCTTATCAGTACTTACTACAGATGTCATGCATGATTTTAGATAAGTAATGAAATTGGGTTATAGAAACAGAATATCATATACAAATTAAGTACTTTAAAAACTTAGGTCCATAAATGGAAGTTTATGATTTTTGGGACAGTTCTATAAAACTTTGCATTTCAAACTGCTTGTCAGTACAAAGAATTTGAAACAATACACTTACCCCAAAATTGAACAACCCACGAAAATTCCCCGCAAAAAACGACGGGAACCAGTTTATTCATGTAATACTCGAAATTGGTTATCTCGAGTCAAGAACTTTGTGATGTCTTGTCTGATCTTTACTGTGTATTACGTCAAGCCAAAATAAACAATATCAGCCAGACAGGAAAAAACACACGCCTTATTCCACCTTTTCTACATAAGGAAATGCCTGTACCAAGTCAGGAATATGACAGTTATTTTCCATTCGTTTGATGTGTTTGAGCGTTTGATTTTGTTATTTGATAAGGGAATTTCCGTTTTGAATTTCCTTGGAGTTCGTTTTTTTTGTTATTTTACTTTTATCGATAATGAATGAACAAGTTTATAGAATTTAAGCATACCAAAGGGGTAGTAAAAGTTATAGTACAAGAGGGAGGACAACGCAATGGCTGGAAGAATAAAAACCATAGAATAAAGAATGGAAACGGGGACAAAAACCCGACCAAAGAGCAGAAAACAGCTAAAGGCCATCAATAGGTCTTCAACGCCTGAGGCGGTCTTCAGCTAGCCCCTAAACAATAATGTATACTAGATAAGCGAAATGGACGCCACACTACACTCCGAAAGATACAAATAAACCAAAAGTCTAACAAAGGCTAGAGGTTCCTGACTTGGGACAGGCGCAAAAATGTCACAGTGGCGGGGTTAAAAATGTTTAATTTGGTGAGATCTCAAACCTCCCCCTAAACCTCTAGTCAATGTGGAATAAACACACACACAGCAGCAATACACACAGTAAAATCACAGGCACTTGTCTCTGAAAAAAAATTCCTATATACCTTAATGTTATAATATGGTAAATAGGAAATTTTTTTTGGAGACAAGTGCCTGTGTTAATAAATATAAAATTAAGAAAATGTGGTATGACTGTCAATGAGACAAATCTCCACCAGAGACAGAAGATGTGGTATGATTGCCAATGAGACAACTCTCCACCAGAGACAGAAGATGTGGTATGATTGCCAATGAGACAACTCTCCACCAGAGACAAAAGATGTGGTATGATTGCCAAGGAGACAACTCTCCACCAGAGACAGAAGATGTGGTATGATTGCTAATGAGACAGCTCTCCACCAGAGACAGTAGATGTGGTATGATTGCCAATGAGACAGCTCTCCACCAGAGACAGTAGATGTGGTATGATTGCTAATGAGACAACTCTCCACCAGAGACAAAAGATGTGGTATGATTGCCAATGAGACAACTCTCCACCAGGGACAGTAGATGTGGTATGATTGCCAATGAGACAACTCTCCACCAGAGACAGAAGATGTGGTATGATTGCCAATGAGACAACTCCGCTCTACAGAGACAGAAGATGTGGTATGATTGCCAATGAGACAACTCTCCACCAGAGACAGTAGATGTGGTATGATTGCCAATGAGACAACTCTCCACCAGAGACAGTAGATGTGGTATGATTGCCAATGAGACAGCTCTCCACCAGAGACAGTAGATGTGGTATGATTGCTAATGAGACAACTCTCCACCAGAGACAAAAGATGTGGTATGATTGCCAATGAGACAACTCTCCACCAGGGACAGTAGATGTGGTATGATTGCCAATGAGACAACTCTCCACCAGAGACAGAAGATGTGGTATGATTGCCAATGAGACAACTCCGCTCTACAGAGACAGAAGATGTGGAATGATTGCCAATGAGACAACTCTCCACCAGAGACAGAAGATGTGGTATTATTGCCAATGAGACAACTCTCCACCAGAGACCGTAGATGTGGTATGATTGCCAATGAGACAGTAGATGTGGTATGATTGCCAATGAGACAACTCTCCACCAGAGACAGAAGATGTGGTATGATCGCCAATGAGACAACTCTCCACCAGAGACAGTAGATGTGGTATGATTGCCAATGAGACAACTCTCCACCAGAGACAGAAGATGTGGTATGATTGCCAATGAGACAACTCTCCACCAGAGACAGAAGATGTGGTATGATTGCCAATGAGACAACTCTCCACCAGAGACAGTAGATGTGGTATGATTGCCAATGAGACAACTCTCCACCAGAGACAGTAGATGTGGTATGATTGCCAATGAGACAGCTCTCCACCAGAGACAGAAGATGTGGTATGATTGCCAATGAGACAACTCTCCACCAGAGACAGAAGATGTGGTATGATTGCCAATGAGACAACTCTCCACCAGATAATGACATAGAAGTTAACAACAAAGTCAAAATTACTTTGAAAACTAAAAGGAAATACACATTCCATCGAAATAATCTTAATACAAATATTATTCAAATTTATTTATTGAAAATCTTTCAAAAAAAAAATGGAAACATGCTGACTGTTCAGTAATTTCCTTTTACGAATAAAGGATATTTTTATTCAAAGTAAAGGGGGGAGTTACCACTGTGCTTATTTTGAAAACACCATTTTCTATTTACTGATAATTTAAAATTTATAAGAATTCGAAGTCAGCTATAGGTATACAGAATACGGAAATTACCCGTTGCTAATCCGTTAATGACTTTTATTAAAGCACATTACTGACCTAGACTAGCCCGTTGATAAGGACGCTTGGAATTTTAAAAATATTACGCATGTTTTGAGGAGAAAAAGGCAGTTTTCGTACATTCTATCAATAGTTTTGTTTTATGAATATAAAAAACTATATTCCGAAAGACAGCATAAGGTAAAATATAGTGCACTTTTTGGTAATTTCTTTCAAAAAGGTTCCCATTGTCATCATGCCATTTGAATCATGGTCATGTTTACAGCTTCGTACACATAACTTATAAATGCAGTCTTCACGATGAACTGCTAAATCTGCAGGCCCGGAGCTCAATTTTTGAAAATTTTTAGTTAGATTCTGTTGGCTTGTAAATATGATTTTTACAGGCCAAAGAGCAATTTTACAAGCCTGGGCTGCCACTCAGCGTGAAGACTGTAAATGTAGTTGTTAAATTCACAGTTCAACACGCCCATGGTGTAAGTGGGTACACAGTGAGCACAACTTAAAGATAGTCCCACACACGTTATAGATTTCACTTTCAAGTAATTAAAATAAAAAATTTTATTAAAATTTTCAAAGCCAAAGGAGGATAATATCTTATTGCCTTACCTTACTGCTTACCCCTGTATCTGGACATCCTTCAAAGGATAACCATAGTAATATGTCTAACTATCGTCCAGGCTCCACGAAGTGAAAATACACAGGGATTGTCTTGTATACAGAAATGTACAGAGGTGCTATTTAAACCTAGCCTGTTTGAGTTTATATATATTATAATTTATAGCCAGACCAAGCTATATTAGTTCAAACTGCAGTCATACATGTACATGTACTGAACATGATGAAGAAATAAAAAAAATGGAAGGTTGCATTTAATATAATCTAAAACTTTTTATCAACCTTAATACACTGCCACACAGCTTATAGGTTTCGATCCGACGTAATTGCGTACAATGGTAGGTACTTGTAACTCTCATTGTACTGAATTTGACCCTTTATGTTACTTCATCCAGGTTTTAGTTACCATGTGGTTTTAAGCAAGAGAGGATGTAGCAGACACATTTCAGGGCTCAACAATAACGCTTGTCCGATTGTCAGGTACCAAAGGAAAAAAAGGTCGGACAAGTAAAAGCCATATCAAGCTGTCCGACGGGACAAGTAAAATCATTCTGTAGAAAATAAATTAAATCCAACTTTGATGATCAAAGTAATAAACAAAAAACCAGAACAGAAGATAAAAACAAATATTAATTTGATATGTGTACTTGCATTGATAATTTAAAACTGGTTCTAAATTCAGATAATTTATAACAGATTCTCGGAAACAAGTCTTACCAATTTGAATCAGCCGTGGTGCCTTTGTTATAAGGTAACCAGACAGTGGTGGCTTTGTTATACATGTTATAAGGTAACCAGACAGTTCGACAACCGCACGGAAACAAATACGCTCCATGTTTAATAGACAGTACACCCTGTTGAAGACATTTGGAGACCAAGACAAACCAGTACCTTGTTTCTCTAGGTTTTTCAGAAGCTTTATACTAAATATATGATAAATTTTATTTAACAAAAATATTTTAAAAATGAAAATGAAGAAATTATTGACAAACAATATTTGATTGTGTTTAGATAAACATTTTAGTATATTAAAAACAAAGCTGATTGTAGTAAGGCATTATTCATAATAATCAATATTCTATCAACATAAAAGACCAGGATACAAAACAAACGAGTGTAGACGGACAGGCATACCAGACTGTGCCTGATGTGCAGAGTCTGATGAGACTTTTGCATTGATGAAAACTAGAACCTAAGTCCTGTGACTAGACATGACAAGATTCAGCTGTTCTTGACTCATATTTTTGAAAAGGATATCAAGAGATATAATCAAATTCTGTTCTATTGTTTTAATTCATTTTGTTCATTGAATCAACCTAAAATGCCAAAAAGGTTAATATGAAGGTTGCTTTTTTTTTGGACAAGTTAAAATTCCATTCCGACAAGTAAGTTTTGGTATGTACTGGTCCTATTGGACAAGTTGAAAAAAAAGTTATTGTAGAGGCCTGCATTTTATAATGTATTTTATTTTTTTTTATATTGACATTTTGTTCATTGTGGCTTATTGATACCATATAATTTGGTATACAAGTAACTATATATATGATTGCATTATTATAATAAAGCACCTTTTGCCAAACATTATTAGTTGTCAATTTGAGTTTGAGTTATTTCCCTTCAACACCAATTTGGATGGGTAAATCTGAAATGGCTGATTTTCTTATTTGACTGGCCAAATTGTAACATGCGGCACAAACAAGTCTGATAAATGATCCTACATTTGAGGGTAATACATGTACTTTTATAAGTCATGTTTATTTACTTGAAGATGTAATATTTACTAACTTGTAGAAGAAAATTTGTATAAGATTTAAATTTTTATTTGAAGATTTGAATAATCATCCCTTTACCTTCAAAAATTTACGTATACAAGTTTTTTACTGTTCACCTTTAATTCTAAAGTTTTGGTAGGTCAAATCATGTCTATACAAATTTTTTTGGGGTCAGGGATCTTGTACATTAAAACAAAATACGTAAATAATTTACTGCGCATTTCTTTATAAAATTAGATTAATATATTAATTGAGTTATCTCCTCTTATATGGCTAAGTTGAAAAACAATTTTATCAAACAAAACAAATGCTGTAGTTGTAGAAACAGTTGGATTAATTCGATATCAAAACACATAATTTTCTTCCTTTACATGTTAAAACTACAAATGAATTGCATTCCTCACTAAACACATAAAACATGCATAATTCTTAAATGATCTAGACCTATTGTTTTCTGTTTTTTACAATCCAAAAAGAGGGGGAAGAAATCTACCTTTAAGTTCATATCTTCAAATCCTTGTTCAATTAAAATTATCACCCTCCCAACACATTGATATCCAAATTTTTCTATATACGAGGGAAGAACAAAAAATTTGCGAAAGCAAATTTATAGATCTAACATTGTTGGGCTGATATTAAAACGAGTTGTATTATATACAATATATATATCAATGTATATGTAATTTGTTGACAGAAAGAGATAAATCACAAAAGTCTTCCCTGGCTGTTCGCTAAACTGTTTTAGCATTAAGATTCATGTAAAATGTATTGTGTATGCTCTCTTTTGGTTTACACTAATTTGTTGTATATCAAGTTTCTAGAAATATTAACTTCAATCTCTGCCAGGCCAATTTTACTTGCAAAAAGTGCATCTGAATTCCAACTTTTATAAAAACTATGAAAATTTAACAAAATTATAAGAGATCAAGTTTGTGCATCCAGTTAAGAGATCACCTTTGTGTATCCATATTTTTGTTACATTTTTTTTTTAATCACGAAAGTTTTAAAAACCCCATTATAAGCAGTGTACAAATGTAGAAAAAGTAATCAAAATATTTGTACTTGCATTAAACATGTATTTAAGATTTTAACATCTGCGATTGTCTTTGCTTATGTAATAAACTAACCAACCTACAAGTATAAAAAAAGCAAGAGGGAAACAGGAGAATCGTATAGTTTGTCCCAACCTAACCAATGTTTTAGGGCAAACTGTACTAATTACTGTGCCAGAAACAAGGTCTTCATGTTTGTGTTTTCATCAACATATTTGTGAAGAATAGGATAAATAAAATACGAATTCTTCCTAAGTGTTCACATGCATATATCATTTGTTTGTTTTTTTCAGAATCCCTAACACTAATCAATCATAGCGTTAAATTATTAAGTTTTTATGTTATAGATAATGCATATTTTAAGGTTTTTCTTGTCGTAGAACACACCGAGGGGTGTCAGGATGGGTCAAATGAAAGACCGACCGTAGGAAGGTCTTTCTTTGGGCAATCCTGACACCCCGAGGTGTGTTCTACGACAAGAAAAACCTTAAAATATGCATTATCTGACTTATATACCGTCAAAAAAATATTATTTATTATAAAGATTTGCAAAATTTAGAATCCTATTTCACTGACCACACTAAAGTGGGATATTCCTTTCTAATGCATTCAGGTTTTAATACGCCCTACGGCTCATTTAGAATGTGAAATAAAACTCACTCATTAATCTAGATATAAACCTTAGAAATTATTATCCATACACAATAAAAATATTACTGTAACTGCATGAAGTAAGACACAAATGATTTGTTACCGTCCGATAATGGTGTATGAAGAATACAAGACACTTTGTAAGTAATTTATTGTACCAGCTTAGTTTAGGGGGGGGGCTTTGTTTTTTTTTCTATTTGTAATGCCATTTATTTATATCGCGGAAAAGTGATTATTTTTCAACAATTGTAATTGAAGTGAATGAAATATAAAGATTTTTTTTTGAATAGCAATATATTCTTTTTAACAGATAATCAGGATATAATTATATATATGAATATCAATACATGTAGGTTACAGTATGATTTCCTATTCAGTGTGAATCAAAAAGATTTTCAAAATCTTACAAACGAATATGTTAAATTTGGCATTTTTGTTAAAGTGTTATGGAAGTTTTACATTAAAATTCATCTCACATATATGATAATGTCTGTATTGTAGCGATAAATTAACAAAACTTCACATTATTTGTACTTTAAATTAAAATGCGGGCAATGACGATTTTGTTGCACCTATCATAGATTGAACTTTAAAAAATAAATTCCCTAATCGGCAACAAAAAACAATCAGACGAATATAATTTTGAAGTAAATTATTATAGTTTGCATTTTTATCAAGGAAAATAATGACCTCACACAGGTCATTATTTTATGCCTTGGAACATATTTCATTGAAACATGGTATCTTCCGGGTTGATTCTTCGAAAGAATGACCTATCGTTCTGAATGAAAATAACTCCATATAGGCATATATAAGATATATCACAAACTTGTTCAAATTCAATATACTTCTACAAATATTCAGAATATACCTGTAAATAAAACTTATTTATTTTAAAATAATTTTGATTTCAATGGGCATGATGGGACATTAACATAATAAATGTTTTCCTTTCAATATTTAACTTTTGTTTGTTTACATGGTTTATTTCCATTTGAAAATAAAAATAGTCATAATGTACATGTATCTCTTCAAATTACTATGGAACCCCTCAAATACGTCGGACTCACATTTCCTCTGGCTCTGCTTCAATCTAGACCAAAACATTGAAAACCAGAAATCACATTCCATTATGTGCACACATGTACCTCTATCTGTTCCCCACCAGTAAGCCTGTAACACTTACCTACCTGGTATCACGGCATAATACAAACCAATTCCATTTATAACAATGACCAGATATGAGGGTTTGGATGGGTTTACTGAATAGAATAATAATCGAATAAAAAAAAAGATTAGTGAAAAAATAGTCAAAAAAATGAGAATTGAAAATAATGAGCCAAAAAATAAGAATAGAGAGAAAATTATCTGAAAGATTAAAGAATAAATCAACAACATGAACAAAGACCTGTCCACTGCCATCCAGACCCTTAGACATGTTAGATGCCATGCTTAAGTTGGAGAGTATACTATAGAGTCATCCAAACAATTCTAAAGGGGAACAGCTGAAGCACTGCTGTCCCACCTTCATTAGGCCATAATGATTAAGATGCTGCTATAGTGGTCCCTGCAGCTTTTGAAAAGGGCAGGGTAATTATTTTCTCAGAGGGCACTCTTCGCTCAATTGGCAACAATTTTTAGGCACCCTTTGCATAGAGGACTACATTTATATGATATTGTTTTATATCTACTGATTTACTGGTCTACTGATTTTCTGGTAAGTGTATGTATATTAGCTATAGATTATTGATTTAATTCCTTTTGTAATAAAATTATCACTTCAGCTAATAGAATCTTGATAGTGCTACAGTTGATTCACAGTTGTGTACCCTTGCCAAAGAACAAAGAATTATTTTGACATCTCATTGCAAATCTATGATTCCCATTTTCCTTTCAGATTTCTTGTTTAAAATGGCTGACAAACCAAAATCACGTGATGACGAATCCCTAAACTTTGAGAAATTGGAAAAAGAATTACATGCTGCCGTGGATGCAGATCAGAGATACTGGAGAGAGAACGATGCTAAGTTTAGAGCAGTGCATCAAAAAGTGGCAACTTATGATGAATTTAGGTTTGTTCACTTGTAAATGAAATCATTCATACTGTAATTTCAAAATTGTTTTCGAATTTTTTATTATTGCAAAAATTGGGGTAGGTGCATGCTCCTGACTTGGGACAGGCACATACAGAATGTGAATGGGTTAAACATTTTTGCAAGCACTCAACCCTCCCCTTACCTGGTACAGCGGTATAACTAAGGGGAAAAAAATCAGATTAGCACAACAAGCGATGATTTAGGTTTGTTTACTTGTAAATGAAATCATTCATACTGCAATTTCAAAATTGTTTGCGAATTTTTTATTATTGCAAAAATTGGGGTAAGTACATGCTCCTGACTTGGGACAGGCACATACAGAATGTGAATGGGTTAAACATTTTTGCAAGCACTCAACCCTCCCCTGACCTGGTACAGAGGTATAACTGAGAGAAAAAAAAACCAGCTTAGCATAAAAAGCACAAGAAAATAACTTACAAAAAGACAAAAGATACAAAGTGCCAATCTTAAAGCACTGGCAGTTACTGAAAGCTAGTTTTATGCTTAGTAGACGTACAATAAACCCAATATATTGTTTCTGTCTTCTGTCATGCACCAGCTTAAGAAGCCTATGGAATTCATTGGTAAGAATATAAGTTATAACTCTGTATTTTAGAGATATTGTCAAAGCTTCACATCTCAAACCACTGGAGAAAGGTGACAAGATGGAGAGTGTTCAGTTTAACCAACCTTGGAATGTTGCTGCAGCTAAAAAGTCTGAAACAGAACAGTCAGAAATGGGACAAATTGATAAGGTACATATATATGACATCAAATGAAAAAAATATATTTAGTCATAAATATTAGACCTAATTTACATTAACCAGAAATAAAACAAGCAACTTTTCCCCTCTTATAAGCTTAAGTAACCAGGTCATCCATCTCAAGTTATCAAAAATATTTTATCAGAAAACCAAATGAAAAAAGAACTGCTTTGAAACACACAAAATACATTTTTCAAGACTCAGAAAATATTTTCTGCAATGAAATGCAGTGTTAATTTCCTACAACTGTCAAATTTAAAGGAATATTTTTTTTCAACCCTTTTTGACATGTAACTGGATGTGACATACTATGTTTTGATGGTTTTACACCTAACGAAGACATTATTGTTGAATAAACTCATTGTGATTTTTTTTCCTTTAAAATACTTGTTATTTGAATCATTACTGTAAAGTTATGTCATAATCAGTTGAATAGTTTTTCTGAGAAATTTTGTTTAATATAAGATGACATCATACAGCAATTTGGGTAAATTTCTTCAAAAAATCCAAATCACACTTTTTCATGATAAAATATAGTGCGGACTTATAAATTATCAAATATTCAACTCACCTACATAAAAGCAGTTCAATGCGATACAAAAGTTGACTCTTAAGATGATAAACCTCTTTAACTCCTCTTTGTCTTTATAATATTAAACTCCCTTTTATTGTCTCGCCTGCAACGCTAGTCGAGGAATATTGTCCCGGAAAGCGAGACATAGGGATTGCTTTTCAGGCAGCGGTGGTGGCATCAACAATTGTTAAGTTTTCTGCTTAAGTTAGTTTGATAGGAACTACTTGTGATAGATCATTGATATTTAATACAAATTTACATTACTATCAGTACATATCAGTTTGACAACTATTTTTAGGCCCTGCCCCCTAGGTCATGGTCCAGCAACTTTGAATTACCTAGCAATTTTCAATGTTAAGTTTTCTGCTTAAATTAGTTTAATAGGAACTACTTGTGATAGATCAGTGATATTTTGTATGAAGTCACATATCTGTTTAGGGGTTATTTTGAGGCCCTGCCCCCTAGGTCATGGTCCAGTGACTTTGAATTAATAACGATTTTCAATGTTAAATTTTCTGCTCAAGTCAGTTTGATAGGATCTACTTGTGATAGATCAATGATATTTTGTATGAAGTTGCATTACTATCAGTACATATTTATTTGGCAACTATTTTGAGGCCCTGCCTCCTAGGTCATAGTCCTGTGACTTTGAATTAATAAGCAATTTTCAATGTTAAATTTTCTGCTTAAGTCAGTTTGATAGGATCTACTTGTGATAGATCAATGATATTTTGTATGAATTCGCATTACTATTAGAACATATCTGTTTGACAACTATTTTGAGGCCCTACCCTCTAGGTCTTGATCCAGTGACTTTGAATTACTTAGCAATTTTCATTGTTAAGTTTTCTGCTTAAGTCAGTTTGATAAGAACTACTTGTGACAGATCAGTGATATTTTGTATAAAGTTGCATTACTATCAGTACATATCAGTTTGTCGACCATTTCTAGGCCCTGCCCACAAGATCATGATCCAGCGACTTTGAATTAATTAGCAATGTTGATGTCCATCAGATTGTCTTTTACTGAATTTTATGGGGAAAAGCGAGACATATCTCTGTGTCATCAGTTTATTCACTTATAACCTTTTCTTCCCTCAAAATTTGAACTTTTTAGGCTACTAAATCAAAATTTTGGGGTAACTATCACCCATATATGTAAAAAATATGATAATAAATGATTTATTGAAGTGGTCCAAGTTGAATGAACTATCAAAGTTTACCGACTCCATGGAGGTTTCCATAAGTTCTTACATACAAATTAAGTTTACACGGCTTTCCAGAGAGGGCTACAAAGTTGTCCCCTTTTAGTGAAAAACTTGTTGTTTGTGCTTTAAAAATTATGTCATTTACTTATAACTATATATTTTTAAAATATCAACTTAGGGAAAAGTTTTCTTTTGTAGCCCAATAAAAGGAAATAAGGAGAAAGGGCAGGAAAAATCTCCAAAACACAGAATATGACTTTTATGACAGATCATTCATGATAGAGCCCTATTGCAAGGCAATTTTCCCTCACATGTGTTTTTGAGACTCAATCCACTCTGAATATTTAATGTTTGCAATATTTCAGTGAAATGGCATGAAATAAAAAAAAAAAATGAGAGTACATACAAGGTCAATGGTGCCTGTGCAGCTTCCCTAAAGAGGGGTAATACCACCATTGTTTTTCCCCTATTAGTGTTTGTAAATTGGAACTTTTAAAAAGCTTGTGCAGAGCATGGTCAATTTAAAACGAAAAAGCAAGAAATTTTTAAAAAACTATCTAATATTAACACCAACCTACATGTATAGTATTTTAAGTTAGATAATTCAGATGGTCCACTTCATCTTAAGTGAAAGTTTGAAAAAAAGTTTAATTGTGAAACTGTAATTTTTTCATGATAATAGTTCAAAAATGGGTAACAATTTATGAAAAATGGGAAAACAATTAAAAATGGGGAACTTTCAAATAGCCGTAGCAAAAAAAAAGTGCACCACCATATGATATTTTCTTCATCAATTACTTTCTTACAGTCATATAAACCCAAAAATCAGGTTAAGAAAAAAAAAGTTTAATTCTAGCAATTTTTGGTGTACATCCTTAAACCCAAATAGTAAAATTAATAAATGTATGATATATGTAGTATTAAACATGATAAAAGATAATTAATCACTTTCCCTTCATTTCTATTTCAGAATAAAAATATTCCAAAAACAGGCCAAGAGTTTGTTCAGTATTGGAGACGCTATTTGAAATCCCTTGGGGACCAGTATATATATCTCATCAGTATTGGTGGAGACAATTTAGCAAATATTTTCAAAACAGAAATAAGTTTTGGACTTCTTGGTGATATAGTGAAAGCACTTGAAAATAAAACGGTTGACAGTGACAATGAAAAAGTTGTACAAATACTTGAAGGACTTAGCCAGACAAACAGATTTTCACTCTCAGTACAATTCTTAAGTTCTCAGGAAAAAGAGCTGTGTAATACATTATTTGATAGGTTAAGGACCTCACTTAAAGACTATGAAGAAATGACAGCAAGACTGGATTGTTTGTCAGAAGTATATCAATTAAAACAAAAATAAATTTTCTTTTTAGAATTTAATTTGTATTTAAGCTTGAAATTACCTCAAGGAATATGTGTGCTGTTGTCATAAGGGGCGGAACAAGAGTTTGAGTCAAGGGGAAGGGAGGTGTGAATGCCCATAATGGTAAAAGTATTGGCTATATAAGCAAATCTTAATTTTTTTTGTTTATTTTATGTGAAAAAATAACGTTTTTTTTTTCAATCAAAAGGGGTGAATGGTTGCTGTTTCAATCCCAAGTGGATTCAAACTAAAAACTAGAAAATTAAATTTTTCTGCTTTTCTGCTTAGCAAATGAAATTGAGAATGGAAATGGGGAATATGTCAAAGAGACAACAACCCGGCCAAAGAGCAGATAACAGCTGAAGGCCACCAATGAGTCTTCAACGCAGTGAGAAAATCCTGCACCCGGAGGTGGTCCTCAGCTGGCCCCTAATTAAAATGTGTACTAGTTCAGTGAAAATGGACTTCATACTAAACTCCAAAACATATAAATGAACTAAAATTAAAAAACATACAAGACTAACAAAGGCCAGAGGCTCCTGACTTGGGACAGGCACAAAAATGTGGAGGGGTTAAACATGTTTTGTGAGATCTCAACCCTCCCCCTATACCTCTTTCCAATGTAGAATAAAGAAACACATAGCGATACTCACAGTAAAACTCAGTTTAAAAGAAGTCCGAGTCCGATGTCAGAATAGGTAACAAAAAAAACTAAGCAAAATGACAATGATACATAAATTAACAAAGGACTAATAGCAGTTACTGACATGCCAGCTCCAGACCTCAATTAAACTGATTGAAAGATTATGTCTTCATCATATGAAAATCAAGTAAAATCCCTCCCGTAAGAGGTTTAGTATCATACCTTCATAAAATATATGAGAAGAACATAACCTGTATCATGCCAACAACTGGTTTTAGAATAAATGTGTTTATTTCTGATGCAAAGACCCTATGAGTGAATCAATATTAATACCAAAATATGCAATCGTTAATGACTTGACAACAGTATCGTAACTATATCCCTTCCGAATAAGTCTATTTAAAGGTTTGGTTAGCTTTTGAGGTGGATGCGGACATTTTTGTGCTTTGTAAAGAATATAACCATAAAAGATTGGATGTGAAATACCTGAACATATAAGATGTCTGCATGTTAATTTATATTTACGAATGATGTTCTTGTACCAATGATAAAATTTAGTAAAGTTTTGACTAGTTTGTGATATCTAAAACCCTGGTGTAATAATTTTTCAGTAATACAGAGATTTCTTTTGTTAAAATCAAAATATGTTGTTACATACACGAGCGAATCGAACAAGTTGAGATATATAAACATGATTAGATGGTGACAAGGGAAGGTCACCATCTAAAAATGGATAATTAACAATAGGAAATGAAAAATCATCTCTTTTGTAATAACTTTTGGTATTAAGCTTCCCGTTAAAGATATATATATCAACATTCAGGAAAGGGCAGTGTTCATTGTTAGTATTAGATTTATTTAAGGTCAGTTCGGCAGGATAAATCTCTTTAGTGTACATACTGAAGTTGTCATTATTGAGAGCCAATATATCATCTAAATATCTAAAAGTGTTATTAAATTTTTGAATCAGATGCTGTTCCGATTGGTCTTTGCTGATTTTAGTCATAAATTGTAACTCATAACAATACAGAAACAGGTCCGCAATAAGTGGTTCACAGTTAGTCCCCATGGGAAATCCAATAACTTGACAATATACGGAATCTCCATAGCGAACAAAAATGTTATCTTGTTAAAATTCAAGGGCAGTTATAGTATCAAAGCAGGTCCAATTGACATAGTTCTTTTGTTTGTTGTTACTAAAAATGACCTGAAAGAGTTTAAACATATATATTCGCATTCTGACTTTTTAAATGCCCATTTAATCAGGTGCGTGAATTTTTTCTTAATAAGATTATGAGGCAAAGTGGTATATAGGGTAGAAAAATCAAAACTTTGAACAGATTCGAAATCACCAATAGTAGCATGCAATTTATCAAGTACTTTCAACGAATTTTTGACACTCCAAAAGTAATTAATTCCACTATTTTCAAAGGCTTTATTTGAACAATTTATTACAAGGTTTTTGATTATACCAAGTGTACTAGTAAGTTGAATAGATAGTTTAGTAGTGGAATAATGGCTTGAAGACGAAATAAATCTATATTTGTAAGGAGTTTTTTGCAGCTTCGGAAGCCAGTATATAGTTGGAACTTTCATTGTATTTGGTTCTGCTTGTAAAGCGGTAGCTAAAAGTTTATGTTTGTTACAGATGTCATTTTCCGAAAATGGAGTCAGTTAGAATGTTGGCGAATTCGTGATTTCCTTTTTTCAGAACCTCAATGTAAAATTTACGTAAAAAAATAATGATATTGTTAGCAGCCTTATCAGCCGGGACAAAAACAAATTCCTTGGCGAGTTCTTTTAGCTTATGTTTGATACGAGAAATAGGGCTATTATGGTTGTTGTTAGAAGTAAAATGTTCTTCAAAATGTTGAATACGTATATCAACTATGTTCATTATCGAATTAAAAAAAGAATCTAACGATTTCTTGTCAGCTTTTTCTCGTTTTATCCATTTAGAGCAATAAGTACGGACGGTGAGTCGTGGATGATGTTACGACACTCATTCCAATTAATAATTGACGGGGGACGATATTTAAGTCCTTTACTGAAGAATGATTTCAACTCTCGGTCACGAACGATGTTAAGGTCTCCTGTTATATCATGGGAACTGGGGCCATAAATGTATTCGGAATTACTGCAATTTCTTGACGTAGGTGTATTGTCACTGATATTAACATCTTTACACACTTCGCTGTAATTAAACACATATTTCCGGGTAGATTGTTTGTATACATAACAAATAAGATGGAGTTGTATAGTAGTATTTTTTCAGCAAAGATTATGAAAGAGGGTAAAGGTTAGGGGAATCAATTTCTCCTACTGTTTTCAACCCATATCGCTGAAAATAAAGTGGTCATTATATCTAAGGTCAAGGTCAATATCATATCTTCTCCTTTGACATTTTTCAACCCAGAACTCTGAAAATTCTCAGGAAGATTGTCCATATGTTGAAGTTGGGAGCCTGCTACTGTGGAGTTGTTGGTAGGAATTGTTTTTCATTTTTCCAGACTTGGGAACTAAGTAATGTTTCAGCAAAATTTAGTCACAAATATTGCAACCCGGCCATTTAGCCTTGCCCCATTCTTTAGATATCTGCAGGTATTGTTAAAAATTTCTATCAAGTCATTCTCTGTCTTGTCTTTGTAAAATTTTGCCATAAACTCCTATTCATGATAGTAAAGGAACAAATCATCAATAAAAAGGGCACTGTCCCCATGGAATACCAATCACTATATACATGAAGCGGTATATGTAAATAAATATTACCAAGCAGAAACAAGGGTTTTCTTTGGCACAACCTTTCTGAATTTTTGGCTCTCAATGCTCTTTGACTTTGTAATTTTTTCGGCCCTTTAACTTTTTTTATTTGAGCGTCACTGATTAGTGTTTTGTAGGGGAAACGCCTGTATGGCGTACAAAATTATCAGCCTGGTATCTGTGAGCAGTTTTTTTTATCATTTCTTTCCAAGCCCAATTATTGTATTGTTTGAAAGTTTTTATTCTAATGAAATGTAACGAATGCAACAGATATAGTAACATCCAGATTTATGAAAATATAAAAATAAGAAGATGTGGTACGATTGCCAATGAGACAACTCTCCACTAGAGACCAAATGACGTAGAAGTTTACAACAATGGCAAGACTTTTATAAAATAGGATAATTTCTCTTTGATGTTATAGTGTAGGTAAAAGTGTACCAAAATCATTACTATCAACTGAGACAAACTGACATTCAAATGAGCGTAGTTTATTCAAGGCTTTTAAACAGGTTTCACAATCCAGAAACATCACTATAACTAAGCTTCGTCGGAAATTTAAGATAGAGTAATCAGTTCCTTAATGGTTGTAAGCTGGAACTAATACATGATCTTTTGGCCCAGTTGTAAGACAACACATCAGAAGAATATAATCCAAACATGTTTAGTTGAACATCTACTGGATGCAGATATAAAACTTTATGTTTTTTTTTGTAATTTAGGAAGCCAATACGTAGAGCTAATTATTTGCCTATCCACTTTACAACAAAACGTGGAAGACGTGCGCCTGGCGTACAAAAATTTTAATCTGGTGAGTTCCTATATGTTGCGGCAAAATCTTGAAAAAAAATTACTAACATACCTTTGTTGATATCAATAACATAATAAATGCTTCTCGAACAGTTTTTTTTCTGTCAGTAATTTAAGAATAAAAAATAGATGGTTGTAATGTAACACACGTTTCCCTCGCCATTTTTATGTATCTCTCCGGTTAAGATTCTGGTAATTGGTTGCATTGAAAGTGTTTCAAAGTGCACTTTTATAAATATTTTTTGTTTGTTTTTTTTTTCAATATCATATTTAAAAAAATACAGAGAACTAGATAAAAAAAGGCGCACAATATATGTTTTAATTAAATTAAAATTAGGATGGAAATAATGTTCATCCTCCTTTATTTAATGATGTATTTATAACCATCATCACAGAAATAAACATGATAATGCTTTTCTGAAATTCATAGATCCTGCATAGTCATCTAACTTGTTAACGACACATGGGTTACTTAATATTAACGCATATTGTAGAAAATTATATTACCTAGATATATAGATGAATAAATTATTCATGATCATAGGGAGCATTGAAAAGGCGATAGACTGTGTTATTGTACCAATGGGAATATAATTTAATTATGAAGAATTGACCTCGATTTTTGAGTATATCAAACATCAAATATATTAAAAATAGTTCCTAGCTCCAAGCTAGAAAAAAAACTTTCAGTAGATTCATATCACCCCGTTGCAGATATGAAAACATTTTGTTTGTTTGGAAGTATATTACCCAGGATTATAATCTGACATCACTGGTCAGGAAAGTTTAGTAGTTTTAGTATTTCATATCTAAATGTTCTTCGTTATTTGGAGAACAGGTTGTTGATTGCATATCCTTGATTGTTTCTGTTGGATTTATTTCCAACCTTTATAGGCTCTGAATGATTTAGGCTTGACCCATGCATATGGTATATACATCGTTCAAGACTGTATGTAGATGCATTTTGGATATTTTTGTCGTTTAGTTGGTGCCTCGTTGGTTTATCCTACATCTCTTCTTATTCATATTTAATTCACTTTAATTTCTTTGACTGTGAAACCTGTCCCTTGAATTTTGAAAAGTATCATTGATGTAAAAATCTATACGTTTGCACCATTCTAAAATAATGTTTTTTCTTTAAAGAAGAGTGCAACGTTTGTCTTAAGCATTCCACCCATGTTGCACTTAATGTCTTCAACTCACGGGCATATATTTCGGAGGAAGATTGTACTGGAAACAATCTTAAACTTGGCAATAAATCAACCATGAAGGTTTCATGATAAAGAATAAGATTGACTTTATTTGATCATCTGATGCATATAAAAGACCAATCAGAAATTCATAACACCATCTCTGAAATGCTCTATTACATTAACAATATATTGACAACAATAATGCTCTTTTACAATAACTAATACGGTTAAAATTGTTTTTAAATTCTCATCTTCTACCTTTAGATTCGATTATATTTTTTGATTTTTTCTTTATTCAATTTTGGAGCATTCATGTCAAAAATTAAAATTATTGTAAACTTATTTGAAAAGAAGTTTGTGGGACATTTTAACCATTTCAATAAATCAGGGAGTACTGGTTTTGAGTTAATTCGGTAAGTATATCGATTTTTAACTGGTCTCTGTATATTGATCTGGTTTTAACTGGACTCGGTATAACCGTATATATATCTGGTTTCAACTTAACACGGAATAAAGATCTGGTTTTAATTGGAGTTGGTATATTAATCTAGTTTTAACTGCAATATGTATATTGATCTTGTTTTAACTGGAATCGCTATATAGATCTGGTATGCAGTTCTGGTTTTGACTTGACTCGGTATATGGATCTGGTTTTAACTGCAATCGGTATATGGATCAGAAATTAAATCTTAAACTTTGACTTGACATTTGTTCCAAAGCTTGACGATCATACGTTAGTTGTTGATAATAATTTGGTTAAAGCCAAAAACATATTCATTGCTTTCTCGATTGGTCAAGTAGTTTAAAGTAGTTCATCCTCTATTTCTTGTGTCATTGGATCCTCTGAGTTCATCACATTGTGTACAAACGACATCGCCATTCAAAATTTTGAGTTGAATAGAAGCCCTTCCTGAAAAACATAAACAATTTTATAATTTTGATAACAAGTGATTTTTTCAAGGGGTGGATTTTGTCAATTATTTTGCTGTGTATATTTTTCAAAAGTTACCTAACATTGTGAAAAGTGAGAATGCATGAATCATTTGAAAAGGGGGAAAGTGGTGTTAAGATACATTTTACATATAATTGTTTGTCTTGTCAAAATCATCAAAGCTTTATTTTGATATTATGAGTAGTTATTAATAAAAAACAGAAGTTCAATGTACTATAAAAAAATGCTGTCTTGAACTATATAAAACATAGATAAGACAAATCCTTAAAAACGTATTTTATCATGATACCAGTAATCACATTGTTTCGTAATAAGAATTCTTTATTTAAAAAAAAAATATTGATTGAGCATTACAAAAATAACAGACAGCTCAAAGTCAAAAGAAAAAAGATGAAAAGGCAAACACTAGTCCACAAAACATTAAAAAGAAGACTTAAATGAACACGAACACTTAGATAAAAATCTGATCTAGCCTCTATTGCTTCGGAAATGTAAGCACTAACTAAAACCGTCGCATTCCACATGACAAATACATCCAATAGTTATTTAATTCAATTATAAGTCATGATGTCAATAAAACGTTCGGAAAAATGACGCTTTCAGAAAAAGTGGACATTGTATTTTATGATATTTTATGTTTCGGTGTACTTTTGCAGGTTTCGCATTTTGTCTTTAAATTACATTGTTCTTGACAAAATATAAGAGCCTCGGTGGCCAAGTGGTCTAAGTCGTCGAACTAATATATCACTAGCCTGTGAACACTGATGTTGTGAGATCGAATCCCGCACGTGACAGGTGCACTCGACTACAATCTTAACTGACTAGGATTGTCACCTTTCCTACTGAAAGTCAGTGATTCTCTCCGGGCATTTCGGCTTCCTTCACTAATGAAAACTGACCGCCACGAAATAGCACAATAGTGTTGAAAGTGGTGTTAAACACCAATCAATCAATACATTGTCCTGACAAAATAAATATTGTTTTCCACATTCACATGTGATCATGTTGTACTATTAATAGAATATATATAGTAAATATATATAAACAAGTCTAAATGAAAACAACGTTCAAACCTATGATTGCGTTGGATAAAAACCGCAATTTGCATACGTGTGCATGCAAAACAAATTTCTTGGTAGAATGGTCTAAAAACAACACAAACAACATTTTCCAAAAGACCAAAAAAGTTTTAACAAAACACATTTGACTAGCAGGTCGAACAACGGATGTTCTTAAACCCTGCTCACTGCCAAATAAACGGATCACCAGATGTAACAAAATGGATCTTAATTATTAATTTAATACCAAACAGAAAACAATAAACTTGCGGGAAAGATGGTATACCGCAAACATGAGGTGCAAAAATTGGTACACCATATATATATATAATATATAGTAAATGAAGAAGACAAAAACAATTCGTGAACAACATAAACAATGAAATAGTGTTAGAGAACAAAAACAATCATAGAAAGTGAAAATCCTCGTCTAATTCTAAGTATGCAATGACATTGAAAAGAAGAAGAAACATGAGTTCGACTGTCTTATAAAAAACTTAGAAATTAGTTACCAATCTATCAGAGGAACTCATTCTATTTTGTTTAAACAAAGCCCTTCAATATCTGCAAAATTAAGTGTAAAGTTATGCAACTATGTATATTTTAATGTCGTTTTATAAAGTGTTGCCCTGAACCTATGCCCTCACAGTTACTTTGAACTCTTTTCTGACAATGTCAATCATTTCCTCAATGTGACGAAAACTAAAATTTTGAACAATTGATCAAATGTCTGGTCTTTTGTTCTGCAATTATTAGAGTTTTAACCAGGACCGCTGACTTCAGTTTGAAATTTTATATCTGCCCTCAGGAATCTGGAGGAATGAATCATTCTGCACAGTGAAAATACAAGACATTTCTCTTGTGAAGTGAGTGAATAGTAAAGTTAGAATAATATTTACAATATTCAAAACAATCATTACATAGATAACAAAAACTATGTGTACGTCTAAGTTAAATCAATCTTACAACTCACATAATCAAGAAAATATATCTACAGGTGAATGTTTGGTCTTCAATGATAGAAACGTAACTATTAAATTGATATCAAGCTCCAAATCAAGCCTAGAAAAATATGGAGTAAACCCCAGTATTATTGTCGTACACTAATGAAAATGTGCAATGTATGTTGACATTTAAATAATGTCATGTGTTCGTGCATGTTTCGGTTATATACCTTGGTAGGTATGTTTGAGTGTAATGTACATATGAACTTGCATTATTTGCAGCGCTTTGAACATTCAAATGTGCAATACATTTAGTGATTGAAACAATGTCACGTGGTCGTTCTTGTTTCAGTTACATACCTTGCTATGTATGTTTGAGTGTGATGAACTTGAAGTACTTGCATTACTAAGAGCATTCATAAGGAAGCTCTGTCCTGTTGGAGGATCCTCCTTTATAGGATACAATAGATACATTTAGATTTACAGTAGATAGCTATACACCTTATCGCTATTTGTCCGCGATTATGTGTAACATCACAAAGGTTCCAGTAAAATTTTGACGTCACATTTTGAAAAAGTCTGACGACACAAAGGAAAGAGATTGTTGTCTAACGTCGGTAGTCCAAGTGTTGCCGATTCTCAAGTAGAGATAAGGTCTATTGCGGTATTATATGATTTATCTTAAACATGAGTGACAATTTAAACGGTTTTATCTAGGGTGAATTTTGTTTTAATTTAAGAGGTTATTGATGGATTAAGAAAATTTATGTTAATGAGAGTTTAGTGCTAAAAAAAAATAGTATGAAAAGGCATTTTAAAACATCCCTGCCAAAAAAAACATTTTAAGGGTTTATGAACAAAATTGGGTTTCTGATTATTACAAAAAGAGAAATTAATGAAAAATGTTCCTAAATTAAAATCGAAATGCACAAAAATGCATTAAAGATGTTTAAAGACAGATACGACGCCGTCTAATCAGTCATATATAATTATCAGATGATTACTTGTACATTTTGTATGGTATAATACTGTTTACGAAAACACTCATGTGAACCTTATATGCCCGATATTCTAATTTGCCTGACTATAATTTTCCATGTAGTTTTCATAGGAATAATCCAGTAAACAAGTATATGGATTTAAGTTTACGGACACTTTTTTCATGTTGCTTTTAATGTTGCCTCCATGCTGATTTGTTTTTGGGGGACCGATATATACTTTTTAAACTTTTCGCATTTAAATTGCTTTTTTTAATAGATAAAAAAAAAACATATATAGGCGTCTAAAACTATTTAATCTTGCCTGAAGGAGTTGGAACCTGAATTTCTTAGTGATTTCTAAATTTGTCGACGGCAATTATCGACTTAAGTTATGCCTTCTTAAGTATTGACATAAGGATTATGTATAATGTACTTCTAATTGGAGATATGAAACATATTTCATATTTTACTTGTTTTTGGTCTTTTCTGATAATATATCAATTTAGAACAAGAATGTGTCCATAGTACACGGATGCCTAACTCGCACTATCATTTTCTATGTTCAGTGGACCGTGAAATTGGGGTCAAATTCTAAATTGACATTAAAATTAGAAAGATCATATCACAAGGAACATTTGTATTAAGTTTCAAGTTGATTCGACTCCAACTTCATCAAAAACTATCTTGACCAAAAACTGTAACCTAAAGCGGGACAGACGGACGAACTATCATAGGTGGGGCATTTAGAAAAAAAGAAGTTATCCGATGTTTAAATCCCATTTATCGATTAAAAAGATACTAACCATGGTAACAAATAAAAGTCTGAGGGAATCGCGTGAATTCTGCAACATGTGCGTCGACACGTGTCTCCTGCTATGCGTGCATCATCTGCCATGCGAATCCAAACACTGCCAAAGTGTCATGATCGGGAATGGAATACAATAGGTAAAACTACAGAAAACATTTATAACTTATGTATAAGTAAGGTCGCTTATCCGGGCGCCTGAATTGTGTATAAATAAATTATAAACAATACTAACCCTGTAATCCCTGTCTTTTTGTACCATTGTCCGTCGCTTTCGCCATGGCTGAAATACAAGAAAAATTATTTCAATGATTTTTTAAAAAATGCGGGTTACTTATTCTGTATTGAGATTGGGTCTTTCTGACATTTCCTTCTTAATATTTATATAAGATTCATAAATTGTGGATTGGAGTAAAATAAAAGATCTAAATTTAAACAATTAAAAGGATCGCACTTTATACTTTCTTTTTGTCATGTTTATGTATCAGAGCTTAATCCCAGTGACGGTTAAGTTTGAATTTGAAACGGTTATACGTTCTAATGTATAAAAATAAAAAGATGTGGTATGATTGTCAATATCACAACTCTCCACCATAGACCAAATGACATATATGAGCCTATCTTAAGTGAGGAACCTGTAATTCAGTGATTACCAATGATTGCTGTATGTCATATTTGCTTTTCATTTATTTTGTCATAAATCAGACCGTTGGTTTTTTCTTTGCAGTGCTTCACATTTTGTCATGTCGGGGTATTTCATAGCTGACTATACAGTATTAGTATTGCTCGTTGTTTTACAATGAACTTTAAGTTTCAGAGAAGTTTCTCACAATAACACTCATGGAAATATCTGAATATATAAGACGCTTTTTGATATTATGAAAAATCCAATAAGAAGAGAAGAATGTTCCAGTTAAAACATTCATAATCGATCTGTGTAATTTTCCAAAATACTTACAAATAAATATATCACAATTAAAAATCCAATATTATATATAAAGTATATCACAGCAAGGATTGACAAAACGTAAATTTCAACAATGTCACGTGACGCATCTGGTAGTGTGGTCACTATAGCATGCCAACAGCACACTACTGTCAACATTATCATAGCTGCCAACAAATATTTATCCTACAATTTAAAAAAAAAACAACTATCACTAATTTATTCATAAAAAAATCTGATTGGTAATGTTTTTAAAAAAATGTAATTAATGAACCTATCACATATTGTTCAGCCATTGTATATTGTTGAAAAAATGTATAATGGGCCCTAGATGTCGTTTTTTTTGTTGTTGTTGGTGTTTGGTTATCAGTAAACCCAGAATATTTGCTGTTAAACTTGGATATATTAATTTGTATTGTTCATAATTTAAGATTTGTTTTGTTATTTGTTTGTTCTGTGACTGAGAATCCAGAATCAATTTATTAAGTCTAATACTGTAATATCCATGTTTTATATTTATTACACACATTTGTTATATAGGAACAAACAATATTTGTCACACTGATTATACAGTTGAACAACATATAAAACGTAATCACAGATTAAAATGTTCGAGTTATGCTTCTTTGTAATACATAAAGACAGATGAAAATAACACTCTTTACGAAAGCTAAATATATCAGAACATGGCAGGTGTTTTTTGTCGGAGGATGTCTTGATCAGGACAAAATAGTTTTATAGGAGTTATTGTCCCTGATATGTAATAATGTAAGATTCACTTAAAAATTGATTACTTCAAACTGGTTCATGACAAATCAAGGATGTTTTTTCATAATAATGAAAGGCGTGTGACTTCAAAGGATCTATTTTTTGCATTTGCTTAATGACATAATACATAGAAACCAAAATTTTTTATTTAAATCAGAATAGAGTTACCTATCATTTGACACTTTAAGTGACATTGTGTATACCGGGAGGTGGAAGCAATCTCCCTTTATTCAAGCGAAAGTACAAAGAAACCATAACCATAGGAATCAGTGTAAATGAATCTATCATTTGAAACCTGGCGTGATTTTGAGTAAACTTGAAGCAGCTAATTATTTCCCTTATTTTTTACTATTATATTATTTAGTCGAAAATGCATTTTTCTATAGTTCTTTCTTATAACAACCGACACAACAAGACGAGATGATACATTCATATCGACGAGAGGCGAATAAACTTCAGCAAACAATACTAAATACATTTCGCTTTGGCCTATAACATGTATAAGATATTAGAGCTTTAAACAACACAGAGATGTTGACTTTCAGAACGCTGACATCATGTAGGCGATCAGTACCTATTTCTTTTGCTGATGTGTGCATGTACAATGCATATAAGAGTAATGATAATTTTGTCAAGTCTTACAGAATTTTGTTTTCTCTGAGTTATACCGGTGTGTATATAAATACAACTTGTCAGAGTTACGGAGTTTTTTTAATGAGATTGGTTGACCAAAAAAGAATCCATTTTTTACTGTTTCTTCGTGGGTTGTTTGTGTTCCCACTACATGTACTGCATCATACACTTAAAAATATTGACAATCTTAACAGTTTGTGATAGGGCATTACATTTAACAATAAAACTTTTGTCAAAAATAAAAGGGTTATAGTCCAGAATACACTTACCATATATGTCAAATACGATATTCTTGGTAAACTATTGTTTACAACTGATTTGAACGCTACAGCGGTCAGGATTAGAGTAAACGAAAGCTGCAGACGATTTTCTGGCTTTTCTTTTTGTACTGAGAATGTTGCGAAGGATAAGGTACAGATCAGGAACTGAAAAAAAATATGTTGTATAAAAATATAGGTATTGACTGAAATATAAAGTTTCATACATAAACACATAAATGCCAAATAAGTGAACGACGTTTCCAAACTATGACATAAGAATGAGTGTAGATTCACATGGCGGGTGATGCTTGCATAGAAGGACACACCCAATCTCATTCCTTTTGAAATTCTTAAAATTTTCTCAGTTTTTGTTTGTTATCTTGATTTGTCTGTTTAAAATGGATTTACGAGTCATTGGTAAACTATTTTTGCATAAAGACGTGATCGTGTCACTATTTCAATTGTGATTCGTCCTTTTTTGTGTAGAAATATATACGATTTAAACGTCAACTCGCGATGGTAGAATATTTGTCAAAAAAATACCTTGACAATGAATCACATTAAACTGTTTTCTCAAGAAATATGAACACAATTCAGTGGTTATCGTTTGTTGCTGTTTATGATATTTGTTTTTTCGTACATTATTTTGTATATAAATCAGGCCGTTAGTTTTCTCGTACAAATTGTTTTACATTTGTCATTTCGGGGCCTTTTATTGCTGACTATGCGGTATGGGTTGTGCCCATTGTTGAAGACCGTACGGTGACCTATAGCTGCTAACTTCTAAGTCATTTGGCCTTTGGTGGAGATTTGTGTCAATGACAATTATACCACATCTTCTTATTTTTATATATTCAAAATAGGTTTCTGTCTTTACTTTTAAAAAAATAGTTATGGTCCAATTGGTTGACATTGAAAAGAAAGTGTTTCCAAGATGACTGGGTGATATTAACTTTATTTGTTCTGTTTTCGCAATGGATGGGAGCCATTACCGAATGTATTACTTTTGACAAATCCACTGCAACTGAAGAAGAAACAGTTACTAACTTAAATGTTAAAGCAGGCGATTTACAATTATATGAAAAATTATGTATACATACATAGAAACCAAATTTTTTTATTTAAATCAGAATATAGTTACCTATCATTTGACACTTTACGTGACATTGTGTATACCGGGAGGTGGAAGCAATCTCCCTTCATTCAAGCGAAAGTACAAAGAAACCATAACTTTAGGAATCAGTGTCTTGTTACTAACTGAAAAATCATTTCCACGGAACAGTAATGGTCGTAACCGCTTTTTATTTCCTCTTTTAAGATACTTATCGGATTTTTTGTTACCAACACACATCTGAATATGTATGTCTTTGATTAAACGATATCCCGATTACTGTCTCGTCAATAGCGAGCTGTCCAGTTCCAAATATAACGAAATAAATTAGAATGAAATAAGAAAACTTACCGTAACCATAAATATATTCCACACAAAATAACCCGGTCTTCGAGCTGCTCTACACTTAACTGATAGAGCAGACCGTCTTATACTATTGTCCGCCTGATCTATCACTATATCTTTCCGAGAACATTCAGTGTGCATGTATAAAAACCACTCTTGTTCATCAACAAATGATTGTCTGTTAACCACATGGTGGTCGGTTTCATCTTCTATTAATTCCACTTCGTACGACGGTAACTCGGAAACTACCGTCACCGTCAGATCCTTAATGATAAAGAAACAAATAGATGTGAGATAATACTAAATTTATCATTTTATTTCCATAAAGCCCTAAAATGAAATTATATTTATATGGAGATAAAAGCATCGAAAAGACATTTGTCAGTTTTTTTAGCATTTGCTTTCGACGGGATAAAGACATAGTTAGATATTGTAAATAGCTGTAGTAATACATCAGCCGTTAAAAGTATTCACCATTTTCTAGCAAGACCCAAGAATCTTCCTAATCAGTCAATAGAAATACGATCATTGTCAGATTCGGGAGTTTCACTGAATTCAATAACTACTGTCTATTATATGTAGTTTAAATTACCAGTGCATGGTTCCGAATTTCTAAGTGAATGCCGCTTATTCTTCTGAATAAACGAAAACTTATCTCGCACAAAGTAACTTCAATGATATATTAACTAAAAAGCATACGTCGGTTTTAGTGTTTTTAGATCACAAGGATATGTCTTGTCAAATGTTGAATTACGAATGCACCAAAATATTGACAATTTATTCAAATACAAGGGGATACCCGTTTAATACTGAAAGTAATTAACACTCACGTACCATTATATTTACGTCAGATTTACATGTAATCTTGTCCAAGCAATCCCTGTTTTATTTTATTCTTATCTAGCATTTTGAATTTGAAAAATTTGTTGGCATTGAAAAAAAGCAAAGGAATATGAGAGATATTATATATAAGAACGCATTTTAATAAAGCCTGGTATCTTTGATGAATTTTAACATAAATAAAAGATGGATATTAAGGAAAAGACACAACTCAATATAGTCAACATCAAATTCTAGCGATTTTAATTTTTGTCTTTTCTAATTAACATGAATACAGTAAATGAAAAGACTTCTAGCTATAATCGTGGATGTGAAAACTAAATGACGGCGTCATTGCTATTCACTTCCCTTCCCCTTGATGTCAACAATTCTTGTCAAATGCTCATGATTAGGATGAAGATATATATTACCTACCTGCACATCAAAAGGGAAGTCGTCCAATTCTAGATTTTCCATGAACGTTCCTTTTATGACCCTTTTCTCTGATATATAAGCTTCCCCTTTATCATTATAGAGTATACGATACCGCATCTGCTCTTTAGGATCGCCGTATGAATTTTCTATATACAATTTCGGATTCCAGATCTTGGAGAAATCTACATTTTCTGCCTAAAAGTATGAATAACTAATATAATACACATTTAATCGTTTTTTTTTTTGTACATCATTATATTATATTCATCAAGTTTCATTACGTTGTGACATGAAATTACGGATACTAATTGATAAATTCAAGGATTGTATTTGGCAAATAAGAGATGTACCCCCTCATTCATTGCTCTGATTTTTTGTCCGAGTTTCACTATACTTTAAATCATTTTCAGTTATATCACCTCTTTGAAGTTTTTATAAGTTTTGGATTTTCTAATATTTCTGCCTCAAGCATCACTGAAGAGATAAATTGTCGAAATGCGCATCTGCGAATCTGGTGCAGTAAAAATGATACCTTTACATGTATTAATTATTAATTTGATAGTCGTCTAATTAGGGGCCTTTTGTTTATATACTTGATAATTTATATAAATGATTCAAAGCGGTTCGGGTATACATTCATAGGCACATTAGCAAACTACAATGTACCATAAGCATACCCTATCAAGACATCCGAGGATGTGGAATACTTTATCCTCTCTTCACGACAAATATGTAATGGTTCTAGAAAACAAAGCCTCAAACAATATTTTTGTTTTATAAACTTCATTATTAAGAATATTTAACTATGAATTCGCTAGCAGAAAGCTAGGCCTCCCACATATACCGCTTTATCATACAGGAACACAATGAGAAATTACACATCATTCGTTCTCTCCATTTGTATTAACATAAAAAGGACAATGAAAATCTCCGTAAACTGGACACCTTACTTTACAAAAATCCTTATTGAGAACGCTATCTATAAAAATAAGAAGATGTGGATTGGTTGCCAATGAGACAACTCACCACAAGAGACCAACTGACACAGAAATTAAAAAACTATAGGTCACCCTACGGCCTTCAACAATGAGTTAAACCCATACTGCATAGTCAGCTATATTTCGGCAGTATATTTAGAAAAGTCTTGATTATTTAACGAAAAAATATCATCAAGATAACTGTAAGTGTTGTTAAATTTATGAATTAAATGCAATTTAGACGGGTCTTAACTGAGTTTAGTCCGGTTTTTGAGATTTTCGACTATCATCTTTCTTTAGTATATACTAACAATCATTCTACGGTAAAGAATGGCCTTCAGAAATGTTGCGATGAAATATATATATATATCAATCACATGTGGATTCTTAAAAATTCTGAAGATTTACTCATAATCTTCAAAATTTATATACGTCGTTGTTCACTGCATATTTATATATTACAGATGTCCAGAATATATGTTCTATTGTTTGGACCCCTACTCAACCCATCCAAAACTGCCCTTATTAGTATCTTTCACTTTTGTCTTAAAGATAGATTTATTCGTGCCTATAATTCCGTGTAAATTGTTTGTTTCTAGCATGTACTGGATAAATCACAAAGTGCATGGAAATATAAAAGTAGAAACTAAGCAAGTCCATCTTATTATTTGTATTCTTAATTTATTTGCAGTGTGACTTATTTTTTCTATTCTTAAAATGTATTTTTATAAAACGAAGTATGCTTGTATTTCTATTAGCTACTATCAGCAATGTTAATTTCTTTTATCAAAAGTGGACAAATCGTTATAGCATTACTTAATACTTAATGTAAATAAAACTACAAATTTTATCTTTAAAAACACTTACCGACTTGTTTTGACCGTCTAGTGTAGGTTCCCGCCATTTTGCTTTTACGATAACGTCTGCCGTAAATTGCTCCTTCAAAGTGTCGATCTCACCAACTTTAAAAAATTGTACACAGATCTGTACTTTTGCCTGTAATGGGTTATTAGTCATTTTAATGAAATACCACATAAAATGGTTGTTGCAGACAACTTTTTTTGTAATAGCTTTGAGTGAACTCATTTTGCTCCTTTCGGAATACTCTAACTTTTTCATGAGCTGATGATATTTTATCAAATTTGTATTGCAAAATAATATAACAAGTTATGAATTGTCACTAATACACTGAAGCTTATCCTACACAGCAGGCACTACGTTGCATAATATCAATATTGGTATATTACTTCAATTATTAAACAAAAATAATCCGAACAAAGTTTTGTCACTTGTAAAGATCATTATGTTTCATACTCTCTATCTTATTTAGAGAGCAAAGTTTTTCGACATCTTTGTTAGTAAACAATTTTAAACAAAAATAATCCATATGTCCATTACGCTGTAATATGTTTCCTATCCATGTCAATTAAGACTGACATTTCAGTCGGATTATGGACCGTTGTGCAATAAAAAAGCTTGAATGTAAAATCCATTAGATAGACATACTTCTAGACATTATTTCCAAATCGCTCTAAAATATTAAAAGCTTTAATATGGTATGGGTAAACATAGTGTGCAATGTAGCAACAGGAAAACAATACGCCAATTAAAAAAGTCCCAAAAGGGCAACTTCAATAGCGACAAACAGTACACGGGAGACAACCCATTATAAATATTCTATTATGACAGTCAGGATTCTTATACAAGAATAAATATCTGAGCTGCATTAAATACCACACACATGTCATAAACATCAAATGCTTTTACCAGTCTTATCATCGTAATGGAATATTAACACGTTCTGAAAAGTCACATGTAATTTGTAAAGTTACATTGTGTGTGGATAACTGCAATGGCTGCGGTAAAACATCCCCACCCACCTTATATTAAACCCGGTTTTTAAAACACATCTGTACCCCTTATAAGGTACAAAAAGAGAGGCGAAGGATACCAAAAGCACATTCAAACTCATAGGTCGAAAACTGACAACGCCATGGTTAAAAAAGAAAAAAGACAAACAGACAAACAACAGTACACAAAACAAAACAGAGAAAACCAAAGACTGAGCAAAACGAACCCCACCAAAAACTAGGGGTGATCTTAGGTGTTCTGGAAGGATAAGCAGATCCTGCTCCACATGTGGCATCCGTCGTGTACAATTTGTACAAAAGGTTATTTTTCAACTTTTTTTTTTCTATTCACACAGGTATCTTTAATATTTTTTTAATAAAGAATACTAATACTGGCTTCTCCTGTATCAGTGAATATATTTTGAACCGAAACGGTCATTTTAATCTAAACCAATGAACGCGACTGAACAATAGATAAAAAAATAATGTTCAGTCTTTTAATATTTTTTAAGATTTGTCTAGTTTGCGGAGATAAGACGCAACAGTAGTTTACTGATTTTCAAATTTCGCAATACCATTTAGATTAAAAAATCTAAAATAAAACAACCGAGGTAATCGCATCAACTCGAAAAGGAGTCAGACTTTGCGTCTACCGCGAAAGCGTCTCCTGTTATGAATCACCCGCCACTGGATTCTATACTTAGTCAAAATGTTACGAGAAGGAATAGCACATGACTTGTAAATTAACAGTTCAGACGGCATTTCAGTTCTGTTTATGATTTTTCTTACAGTCTATTAAGATAAGGCCATTGTATATTTGAAACGTAAATAAAACAAAATAATTTCTGAAAAGTCAGTAAACAAAACTTGACTGACTGCAAGGACAATGTCTTAACATTAATAATTTTTTTCACCACGAAAATATTTAAAAATAAATTATTAAACTCTAACACAACGTTAAGAGTCTACTGATATTCAAATGTTAGGATTGCTGCTATGACTAATTCACACACAAAAAATGGGGGAAGGGTAGGGGAGGGTGGTCAATTGAAAACCATATGTCGTAAATAAAGTAGACAGCACCATGGCCAAAAACGAAAAGACCTGTTGCCAATCAACAATAACAAAACATTACACAGAAATCTAAGAAACACAAATCCAACAAAAAAATATCATCTACTGTATCACTAGCCTTTTCGTTCACATAAGAGGACGAAAATTTCATTTTCTGAGGGGAGGGATAAGCAGGACGATTTTAGAAATGAATAACATGGCCTGATAAGAACTAAAAATAAATAACTTTCCACAAGACAGGATGAAAATGATCAACACTAACGTTGTGAGTTCGAACTCCGCACACGGCAGATGCGTTCGACTCCAATTTATATTGACTAGGTTTGTCAGTTTTTCCTGCCTAAGGTCGTTGATCCTCTTCGACTTCCTTCACAAATAAAAACCAGACACGATATAGCCAATAGTGCTGAAAGTGGCGTTAAACACCAACAATCAATCTTGTTTATCAACAAAGTTAGAGGTAAAGTTTGGAAGAGGTTTGAATAAAGCTGTCAATAGCTTTTGGAAACGTAATTTTCTGTTGGTAATTTTTTACGTTGTTCGTGTTGTTCGTGTTGTTTTGTTCTTTTTGTATAAATAAATGTATTCATATGCAATCTTCCCTATTAAGACATTGTGAATTATTTATATTCGGTTTATAGGGTACATATAAACTAGAAAAAATCAAATGGCATACTAGACACTTTACAAATATAATAAGGTAAAACTGTTTTAATTCCTATTCTTAATGTTCCTTTCTTCTGGTATTTTCTTCAATCTGAAGATTTGTGAAAGGGGGTCATCTCTACTAATAAACACCATTTTCAGAATGGATGGGTTTTAACTCAATAAAAATCATAGGCTCACGTTAAGTCAATCGCAACATTTGTATTGTTCATTGCTAAGATAAATCAATCTTTATAATATAAATCCAAACACAAAGTTAAAGATATTGAAAATTGTTTCCCGTGTAAAAAGATGGCCTCTTGCCCCTAAGCTTTCAACATATATTTCCTTGACAGACATGTGGGTTTTGATTGTCCCGAAGGTATCTTCAGCTGCCATTGAATCACTAATTGACATTCTGCTTAATAAGATTATTTTACATAAATATTTATTATGTATCATCTTCATACATTTAATAAAAACAATTTTACCAAAAATATATTTCAATTAATGCATTGATTTTTTTTGTTTTTGAACAACAACATTCCACAACATGTAGGAAATAACGAATATTGTTTATTACATAAGTAAATAATATCATTATTGATAACTGTATAATTGAGTACGAATGATCTGTAATCCCCCTGACAACATAACTATGATGAAAAGGTTTGGAATTGTCAGTAATTTCCCTTGTGATTGACTACGAAATAACGGAAATTTGCATTTTCTTCTATGTGTAATGCTCATGGGTACTTTATTTGGACAAATATGCACCATAAATTTGATAGGCTATCATAAATGTGTTTTATTGTTACGATATTTGAAGTCGATGAAATACAAAAGATTAGTAGATAGCAAATTCTATAAAACAACACACAAATTAAGAAAACTAAAAGAAGTATTTATAAAAATCAAACGGTTACAAAATTAAAAGCATGGCTGATCAATTCACTTCAACCGAAAAAAGGTTCAAAGTTGCAGTCAAAATCGAGTAAAAAGATGGTAGGGGAATTTTTAAGTTTAAACTTCTGATAATAGTAGAAGAGAGTACAAAACCATAGGCGTTCCTCACGCGTCTAAACTTGGTCAATTCTGTTTCTTCATCTGGGTATAGAGAGTAGCGGATTCACCCAAAGATTACCGATTGAGTTGTCTCTCAAGACCCAAGACAGTTTATCACCTGGACACACTGTTTAGATTCCATACTTCAAAATGCCGCAAATTGGCAGGGAAACGGAAAGGGAACTATCTGATCGTGGGTCTAACCGACAACCTAAAGATATCGATGCAAACACGAAATCTGGTAGGGTTGGGAGCTTGTCAAGAATTTCTATAATTGCAAATATAGATATAACAGACATGATATCTTTTTTGTATGGCACCAGCATATATTTATTTCTCTTAAAATCCATTTTTGAAAAGCAATAGATTTTAAGAATTCAAATTAATTAATTCTTTATGTACAAAAACGTGCCATTAATCTTCTGTAAATTTATCAATTTCTTTATTATTCACACATGCAGAATTTTTTCAAATTTATCAATGAGCAAAAACAAAATCCACAACCGCAACATTTTGAAGTTCATGAATGATTTGCATTCATGAATACAACCCTATGATTTGACGTCACATATTTATTTCTTGTTCATAAATGCATGTTGGAATATTTGAAAAGCTAACATAAAGCATATTCTTAAAATAGATAAAGGTCAAGGCTTTATTAGATTCAACAGTTAGTTATTGATATAATTAATCAAAAGCACCTCCAAATCAGCAGTTACCAGGTAATTTGATTTCAACAGTTTCTATTCCCCGTTCTTGTTACAAATGTAAAGCAGAAATAATCTCTTGACATCATGACCTAAAGAGCTGGCATTTGTAAAACTTGAATTAAAGTTGATGAATACAGTATCGTGTTGTATGTGTTCAAAGCACTTTGTATGTATACTAGGGTTACCGTGATCTACCGATCGATGCAAACCATGTTGCAACAATTTCCAGGGGCCTGGGGAGAGAATGAAACCAATGTAATGTATGCAGTATCCAAAGAAGATTAAGGACATCTGATATTTTTGTATGGGTTTAATTTTTTAGTTTATATTTTACTACTTCTACTACTACTACTGCTACTAATTATAATAATTACTTTAATGTTTAAAAGAGAGACGGAAGATACCAAAGGGATATTCAAACTCATATGTCGAACACAAACTGACAATTTCGGCAAAAAGATCGCGAAAAATGACGAAAAGACAAACAAAAGTACATAAACATAGAAACCTGGATACTGTGCAACATGAACCTCACCTAAAACCGGGGGTGATCTCTTGTGCTCCAAAAAGGTAAACCTTATCATAACACTAACCATGATAAATGTGTCCGGTAAAACACCGTATTGTATATGTAAAAGGTTTAGGATACCTT